TATCAAAAACATTCATTGTAAATAAGAAAATTATGTAAATAAACCATAAAACCATACAAAATTTTCCTGCGACCTCTATTCAAAATCCCAGTTTACCAATAGGAATTAAGGCACAAAGATGTTTCACTGAATTTAATACCGATTTTTCAAGAAAAGTATGCTTATAAGCCTATAAGCGTCTAATGGATTAAAACAACAAATAATAATCACAATTTATTTGTTTTATGTGTTCATTACAATAATCCCATTTATTTACCAGAAACTTCTAAATGAAATAATATCTGGTTGACGAGAAATATCCGCAAATTTGTGTTAGGCTCATCTGGCAACGTTTTCGGTAGGTAGGTATCAATGGAACTAAAAGATTTGGTAATTTTCTTGGAAGAGTTTGTTTCTTCAATGAAAATTTATGGTTTTTAATTCTTCGGCCGCTTGAAAGTCTCGCCATGTGAAAATAGATTATTTGATAACCTGTTTCGTAATAATTGTAAATACGAACAAAAGCATATTTGCATATTCTAAACAACTGGCCATATCGATTCCAAACTTGTACAGATATGTTTTTTATTGTTTCTGTTTTCAATGAAATAAATTTTATTTGCAAAATACTTAATGTCTAACGACATATCACGCATACATACTACCCCATTTACTATATTTTCAATCTGTGCATTTTTCGCTTCATTCGTAGGAGCCAAGTAAGAAGTATCAGTGAGACCGGCGGTCTTTCAAAAGCTCGTAAATAAAAAGATTTAGTAAAGTTTCCTAGAACAGTCTGTCTCTTCATAAAAAAATTTAGACATTTTTACTATGAAATATTGGTACAATACGCTATATTCCACTGTTTGTTTTCTTTGAGATACGACTAGTTCTTGTGCCGAAGTGAAACACCAAAAAGTGTAAAGTCCGGAAATCAGAGTGAATTTTAAAACACATAAAACGACTTCTTTATTTATTTAAATATTGTCCTGTAACGTCCTGTGACGTGGAATGGAGTTTCTTAATGTACAAAAGTATGTTAGATAATAACCGAAAAATTTTCTTGATTAAAACTAAAGGAAACACAATTATTACTTGGAATAAAAATAAAGAATATCAAGAACTTGTGCTATGTATTAAAAATATTTAATTTCAAATAAGTAAATTATGTTAATAAACCATAGAACCACAAAAATCTTTTTTTAACACAAATTATATTTCAATAAATTTTCAGTAGTGAATTATCGATATACTTAATTGTATTTACATCATAATAGTTATTTATTATATAAGCGGTTAAAGTGAATGTTTAATGAGCGGCCAGTTTAAGGCGAGAGCGGCGTATGCCGCGAGCGCCTTAAGACCACGAGTTACACATTCATTTTAACCGCGAGTGTAAAACAAACTTTTATTCAATTTTGACAACCCCAAGTCCCAAATTGTGAAAAAATTGGTGATTCAAAGTTCACATTCGAGAAACGTCAGAATTGACAGCGACCAAATAAAAGTTTTATATGCGTAGAATTTAGGTTACAATATCAGGTGTGTGTGTGTAGTATGTGACTCTGGCGACGGTGTTTGTTTATTTTAAACAAACTAAAATTATCGAAAAATTGCAAAATCATGCAAGATTCCAACGGCAAAACTTGCTCCCAAAAAAGAGCAAATCAGAAAGTGTATCAAAAGTTCCTTAGATGGAAAGAGCAGCAAGACATTGGAGAAATTACAGAAATGGTAACCATGGTTTTAAAACAGCAAAATAAAAATTTTATTTCGCTAGCGGTTTAAAAATTTTATGGTGCTACCGGATAAACCAAAGCTTTAGTGGCCTACTGACGGCAAAATAAACGTTTGTTTACATGTCAAAATTGAATAAAATTTATTTATTTTACTTTATACTATGTCAAGTTTGACGTTTTACTGGATCGAACGATTCCGGTAAAATCAAAAAAACGGACAAGTCCGATAAAATTGAGCCAAAAAGGACAAGTGTTCCATTTCCGGAAGCGGCCACTGACCCTTTTGGGTCTCTTTTGCTTTACCTGTTATTGTAAATACAAATGTAAATTTAGTATTTCTGTAACCGTCCTGTATTAAACATCGAAACCGAACGCTGTCTATTATCTCGCACGCAATAAAACAAAAGTCATTGGAGCAATATCAAAGTACAATTCGGTATCACTTTGTCGTATCAACCAGATTACAAAAAATACTGGTAGGACGAGCCGAGTTGCACAAACATTGGTCCTTCGAGACGGATTGCACAAAACATTCGTCCATCGAGTCGGATTATACAAAACAATAAGTCCTGTAAAGTGTTATAAGTACTATGTGTTTAAACATATGATGCTGATTTGCACGAATAAACAAATTAAAACATTTACCAAAGAGCGGTTGCTAACGATGTCAGAAAAAGTGACTCGATTTGGATTTTTTCTCAAAATAATAATAATTTTATCGAATAAAAAAGTATGTTGACAGTATGAAATAAAATACATAACAACATACGTCCGGTAACTCTTTTCGCAGTACTCGTTTCGAAATTAAAGACTCGGCTACCTACTCGTCCTGAAACATATCACTCGTACTGTAAAATTTGAGCTACCGGACCGTTAGAATAACTTTAATTACCATTTATGTTTTCATCAACACTAACAAGTATTTAAAATAACAAGTAATAATTTGTTTGTATTGTTTATTCATTATAATAATTCCATTTATTCACCAGAAACTTTTAAACGAAATAAAATCTAATCGACTAGAAATAACGGCAAAGTTGTGCTAGGCTCATCTGGCAACGTTGCAAATTATATAAATGGTTACTAAGAGATTTTTACACATTGTTTTCGTCGCCCTCTGTCGAGTGGTAGCTTTATTAAATGTATTGTTGCTGTGATTTGGGTTATCTACGCGCGCGATTGGTGTCCAAGCTTTTCGCCGGCGTTTGACGGCCGACTGTTGGTGCGCCATCTCTTGTTCGCCGGCCGTTGGCCTGTTCGCTCCAAACAATAGCATGGGTCTATCTATATGTATTTAATCAATGTCTTGTGTCACTCCCTCCCTGGTCTCTGGTGTCACTCAGGGGTCTTGAAATGAGATAGCCTTCACCTTATCCTTTCTTTGCGAAGTTTTCCGACCCGCCCGCCAGGAGTCGTAATGAAAAGAAATCTGTAAAAGCTGTGATTTTCAAAATTTTTGAGAATTCGTTTAGATCTCCTAGCAACGGCAGTGTTTATCATTTGACACATTTCCTGTGTTGTATTCGCGTGATTTATGCGTGATTTCATAGTGGGATAGTGCTTCTCAAAGTTTACTTAATTTATGTGTTTACATTGTACATTGTAGAGTGTAATTGCCAAATGTAAGTATATAACTTTACCTTGACTAGATTATTATACCCAATTTTTGTAGAACAAAAATGCAAGACAACAACATGTTACGGATATACGACGAGAGTTAAGCCGATCTTTGGGTTCCACATCCAAATCGGTTTATGGCGCAAATAATAAACCCGCGAATAACCAAAAACTGGTGGTTTTAAACAACAACCAAATTTATAGCAGAGGGTACACTGGCTTCCATCATTTTCGACCAGACAAAGACTACATACCAGGAACGCAAAAGCCGCATAGATTTGCAGTACCAGCTATTTTGCCTTTCCACGGTAAAAACAAATTGAAAGTCACTACAAAACAAATATTAAGATATTTTTATTCACAGCTGATAGTGAACTTACTACAGCATCACTCCAAGCAAACCACATTGATGTGGCAATCACAAGAACGCCTTTCGCTCCGCTAAGAAGTTTCTAGGAAATCAACGTTTGGTTGGTATCGTGAAAGGATTGGCTTTTACATTTGAGGTGAAAGCAGATGCCATTGCCATTTGGAAGTATGGTTCAAAATCGTATAAACTTCTGCCAAGAATGTTTATGTTGCTATCTATTAACACTTTGAGGGCAACCCTAAATAAAGTTCCAATAGAACCGGGTATCATCAAACCTATATTCGAAGTTCTCAGAAAGCAAGTAAGTCGCAAAATTAACGCTAAGCATGTACTCTCATCTTTGATGAGATGTTCATTCAGCCTCATCTGGACCACTTGCCTTGTGATGACAGTTGTGGTTTTTGAAGATGACGGTTCAACAAGGACGGAAAAAATTGCAGACCATATTTGCGTACTCAGAGGAATTTTCGGAAGGTAGAAGCAACCTGTTGTTTTTGCTTTTTGTAAAAATTCTATGCCTGGCGTAAACACTGCCCATTTTTTTATAAAACGGTTATGAAAGGGTCAACAGCGATTGATTTTGATTTTCGGGAGTGTTTTGCATATCGAAAAACTAAAAACTCAACTTTTTCATTTATTTTTAAAAGAGTCTATCTTTAGATCTATGAAAAAAGTCAGCAATGTAGTATTTGGTAAGGAAGAGCCTAACAAATCAATTCCATTGGAAACAGAAATGCAACAGTTATATTTACGTTTTACAGAAAGAAAGTAGAACGTTTGTATAATTTTGGATTTTGCAGGTTATTCATCAGCTTTGTTTTGTTCATACCATAACAAAGTACTGGGAAACATATTTGGTTATCAATTTTGAACATTTAATATCTAAAATGTTATTTTATTTTACACTATTTTGTTTGACTTTTGCTTACTTTTCTAATTTTCTCTTAAGATATTTTTAGGATATTATCAATGTATTTATTTATTTATTGTTATTATTGTATTTACATTTACAACTGAATGTTAAGTTTTAAATATACTGTGTCAAATATTTTATCTACTTTTTTTTACACTGTTTGTGTTTTTTATATGTCAGCTTCAAAACGTATTTACACGTTTTGAAACTAACATATAAAATACACAAACCATATTTTTCCCTTCAATTATAAAAAATTCACCTTAAAAATTCGCTTTCAAATTTAGCGCCAGGTTTAGTTCCCGACCCAGCCAGTAGATGCTGACATTGTGACCAACATAAAAGCATTAGAGATCGTGTTCTATAGAGAGGGTATTCTATGGTGTCACTTTTTAAACGCTTTGGTGGTGGTGGTCCGTTGGCGGTTTTTCTAATAAATGTTATTTTGTTGTAAATAGGTTAATGAAGTAATTGTGTTAAGTGTTATAAGATAAGGCATTGAGGTAAGTTACATTATTGTTTTATTTTTTTTAATAAATTACAATAAAAAAGTATGCGGTTTGTCGGATCCTAACCCCAATTTTATTCTTTTATTATGTGATTTTAGTTATTTGGGCTGACCAAAAATGGGTGACTTTGCTGATTTACTCCAAGAAGCGGAGAAGATCACCGTTGATATAGAAGGGACAAAAGAGCTCCCGAAAGTTGATCGATCCATTCGTCAAGTATTAGAAGCTTCAAATGATTTATACACAAAAATAGCTCAAACTGGTTCAAAGGATATTCAAGCGTATGTGGTTATGCACCGTTTTTTCACAACAACATGTATTTTTTTAGAAATTTATTGCTAGGTTCAAAAGGAGTCGACCTTCCAAAAATTATACAAAAACTAGAGTCAATTAGTACAAAACGTACATTTGAATCAATCGAACCTGTGGAGGATGTTAATGCCGTTGGAATTTTAGAAAACGAAATTCAAAATTGCATTCTAAGTGTGTTTGAAACAGGCTTTAACAAAGTATGTCATCATGTTGTGAGGTGAAGTGCATTTGTAATTTTGATTTTTTAGTGTATGAAAACTATTTCTGATTGTTCATGGGAACATCAGGCTAGTGAATGGAAACAAGAAAAACGAAAAATTTTAAATTCAATGATTGGACCTTCAGGAGCGCTTATTGAAGCTGGTAAACATTCAAATGTTTTTATGGAAAGGCCTATTTCTATTGCACCCAATTTGGGTGTTGCGGAAACATTGTATGCAGCCAAAATCATTGAGTATAATCAAGCAGTTGGCCGAAGCATGCAGAAGCCAAATCTGATTAGTAGTTTTATCAATGTTGCAAATGAACTAAGAGATGCTGTAAGTATTGTGGAAACTTTTATACTTATGTATAGTTTTGACTTTGTTGGCTACAAAAAATTAACAAGTGTACACAGGATGTTTCACCTAAGTCCTACATTCTTTTATATTGATAAATATAATCTGCTAAAATATTAATAAATGTGTACGTGTTTTCAATGAAGAATATTTTAGCATTACTGAATGTAGAAGAAGTTTGATGTGAAATAATAAAAAGTGCTTTTTATTTTTGTTACTGAATGGTAGTGTTTTTTTTATGCTCATAAAAACTACAATGAACAATTTTTTACATTACAATTAAGGATTAATATAATTTTCCACCGAGATTGTGAGCGTTCACACGATTTTTTAGTACAAAAATATTTAAAAAATAACCTAGGCTAAAAAAGTAATGTTTTCTTCATATGCTGCACAAAGTACATAAATCATGTAATTTTGTGCTTGATACTTACCTATTGTAAACTTTCACACTTCACTTCATGCACACGAAAAAACGCACTTGTCCTTTTTTTTATTGTTTGCTGTTTTTAGAAAGTTAAGGATATGTGGGATATCATAAAATACATGACACAACTTCCACCGTTCCCTCAGTCTGAGGATCAGATCAAAACACGAAATTCAGCAGCCGTTATAAACGCTCTTGTGAAACAAGGCAAAAAATATTTGGAAGATCGGTAAATGACTATCATAGTAAAAAACATAAACCGCAAACTTTTCTTCTTTAGCTACAAAACTTACATGAGTAATATAATTAACGAAAATTTATCAACCGCCATGCTCGGAGGAGTTCCAGGAACATACCCGCTAGTTCGTAGTTATGTTGGTGTTCGTCTTCAGGGTGAATATTCAGGCCTCAAAGATGACAAAATTGATGGAAGACCGTTGTGGCCAATGGTTTACTACTGTCTAAGAAGTGGCGATTTAGCTGCAGCGATTTATTGCCTTAAAAAGAAAAACGATAAGGAATTTCAAGACATTATTGCGATTTTGGAGGCAAAACTTAATCATCCAGATAGTCCTGAAATTTGCAAACTTGAAGATAACATTAGATACAATTATCGTAGACATGTTCGCAATGAAACTGACCCTTTTAAACGCATAGTCTGCGCAGTGCTTGGTTGCTGTGACGTTGTTGATGAACACTCTGAAGTTGTTCGAACCGCTGATGATTATCTTTGGTTGAAACTGAGCTTAGTTCGAGCGGATTACGAAAAAGATGATCATATTAAATATGCCGACTTACAGGTGAGTACTTATTTTTTAACACATTAATGCCATATATAATAATGAGCCTGCACCGTTTTTAATAATAATTAATAAATTACATTAATGAAAAAGATTTTTACATGAAGTCATAACAATAATTAAATGAACCGAATTAACTTCAGCCGTGGGATGGGGTAACATAAGCCAATGCAAACTACAACAACAACTAAATGCAAACAACTAAACAAGGTCCTAAAATTTGTACACAATCGCCAATATATCGTTCATGTACAAAATGATTTCCAATCTGTGCGCAAGTTAATTATTGTATCAGATTTTAATTTAAATGCGTGGAGATTAATTTTTAACAGGTTTTGAAAAAAACTTTTCTTATTCACTTCTTATTGAAGTTTCTATCAAAATCTTTGCAACACACTTATATTAAATTTATGACGATTTCTGGAAAATGATATTAGACCGCTTCGAGTATTGTCATCTTACTACTATTGCAAAAGTTCTGTATTTTTTTCTTCAGTAGCGCTTTTCTTTATTTTCCATTATGATGTACTCTCTACACAGATTGCAATTTCAAAAGCAATTTCATAGTTGGGTTCCTGTACAGTTATTATTTATTGCTGAAACGTTATAGACATTTTTCTGTGTCAAATGAATCAAATCAAAAAAGATCAAGTAACAACATTTCGTTTTTAGTTTGTATGTGATTCACAATTGAAAAGTTTATTATACTACATAGCACGTAATTTTCTACTTGTTTTTAAAATTCTGGGAATGTTTAGTCAGTTGAAGATTACAGGTAAAAATATGCATTTTTTTCTGTTGTTTATCTTTTATCCGGTTTATCAAATAAAAATAAACCATTAATTAAGCAAAAAAACAACATTTTTAAGTCTAAAGCCAGCAATCTGTTTGATAACAGCCACGAAAATATCATTGAAGTGTTGAAATATTTATTAGTTAAACAACTGTAAAATAAAATTTGCCTCTTACTGAGTATATACTAGGTCCAATTTTTGTTTTACTGACCACTATATTTATTAATGGGAAATATTGGAATTTAAATCGTATGTTTCTCTGAAATGATACGTTTAACCTCTGCGTCTATGTAAAGCTACACCAAAGATTGTTTTTTTTTTTTTAACAAAAAGATAAAAACTAAAACCTTTATAAAGTGATGTTTAACTTTGATTTAAATTTTACGTCAATTTATCAATGTCGCTGTGACATGAGCAACCGTCACATGAAAAGCTCCATTTAAACCTACTTTTTTCATTTTCTTGCTTGTTGTTGTATCCTGGAAATATTATTGGTCCGAATCACTTTCCTTTAATTAATATTGTTACGAAATAAACCTATACTCCACCCCGGTACGACTCTTATGGGTGTTCGCGAACCATCCAGAGTTTACACCATATCGGGTTAAATAGAGGCCACCTTCGCGAACGAGAGAATCTCAGTCAACGAGTCGAGACCAGTAAATGAGAGAATGACTCTAATCAAATCCATTCCAGTCGAGTCGGAATTATTCTGTACATAATCTCCGTATAGTTCGTCGTGTAAATTAGTATAACTGGGAAATAAATTGTTGAGTTTTACCCACGCCGATTTTAAATACCCGTGCAACGTAACAATGTTTAGAGACGTTCGTCAGATGTTTTCTCTTTGTTTGATAGATGCTTTTGTCGTATTTTGTCTGTCATTTTAACGAAAATTTTACAAAATGAATGACTTAATAAAAGAAAAGCAGACGGCCCATAATTTTTACATTAAAAATAGTTCTTTTCAGAATTTGATTTACCTATTTGCGTTTCACTCAAAAATGGCATTTTCATTGGAGCAGAAAGCGTTTATAATTGAGTCGTATTTTAGAAATAAACAGAAGGTAAACAGTATGTGGGGGAGTACTCGATTCAAGCCACCTGAGATGAATTCGGGAAAAAGTTTCCCAACAACATCGTCGACTATCTCATTTTTGCAACTTTATTAGAACAATGTGTGACAAAATTCCGAAAAACCTCGATTCCACAAAGAAAGGAGGAAAGTGGCAGGTCGAAGATAAGAGAGCTGCAGAAAATATTGGAAATGTTAGACAGATACTGGAACAAACCCCTACAATATTCATACAACACTTAGGACAGTAAATGTAATTATCGTATGGAATTTGCTGAACAATATTGCGAAAAGATTTAGCATTGTTACCTTATCTTTGTTTGCAAGAATTACATGAAGCCGATTTTCCACGTAGAGTGGACTGTTTTCAGTAGTTTTTGAAAACATTTGATGATCGGCTGTTGGAAAAAACTTCATTTATAGACGAAACCTGGTTGTATTTGAGTGGCTACATTAATTCTCAAAATATCAGAATATGGAGCACCGAAAATCTTCATATTTATGTTGAGACCTCTTCATCCTCAAAAAATTATTACAAAGGTACTCATGACAATAATAATCATATGATTAAAAATGGCTTCTTTAAAGTAATCCTTTTCAAAGTAACTTAACTGCTACTAGATATCAGCAAGAAATTTTGGCAATTTTATAAATCAACACGTTTGCTAGGCGTGCTCGTGTCAAAATTGACAACAATCATTAATAGTCACCTGGTAGTAGGAGCCATACACCTTCTATGTGGCCTCGTCTAGAATTAATATATCCAAACATTCTCCTCCGTGTATGTAATATGTTCAAAGTACAATAAAGTGGCAAAAAATAAAAATCTTAGAACTTTTGAACTCTCGAATTTCATATTTAATCTGTACTAGTTTTTCATGACATTATGTCTTTTTCCTAAACGTACATTTATTTGTCTGTAAGAAGGTAAACAATAATAATAATAATAAATATTTTCCAAGAATGATCAGATTACAAATTATGTTACTCCCCCAGTAGCAAGTATAAATATAAAGGTTGTTTCCAACCAATTATGAAATTATGCTTAGGAATCTAGAAATTACGAGATTATACTTAACAATCCGGATTTTAATTTACGCGTTCCCACCAGAAAACTAAGAAACCGTTGAGGACCAATCGAAACGTTTCGTTTCACCTTCCTAACCAACAAGGATGCGTTTGACAACCTAGAGTTTTATATACATATATTTTTGTGGTTATTAACTGATTTTATATGTTTTCTTTTTTTTTTGTCCCGTTTTTCTATACTCATTTTTGTCCTCTTTTTGTCGTTGCTTTTTTGCTTCTTTTTTATTGACATTTTTTCACGTCCATACAACCGCAAGACATTCACGGGACAATATTATGCATGCTAACGATGTTTTTTTCTGATTGGTACACTGAGTACTTATCCGTAGAAAGCATGGAGAATTTACTCAGAACGTAATATCTCCGTTATTAATAAACCTGTTACATAATTTTAAATATAATATAACTTGTCCACACCTTTCGCTATGTAACGCAGAGTTTTTTTTTTATCATTTTTATCGTCGTTTTCTTTTTACCATTTTGGTGAAATTTTTCATCACGAAATTTCATAACGCAGTTTTCACTACTGTTTTCGCCTTACACAACTCTATAAATTACCCGGGTAACATTGGCGATTTTTTTTTGTCGGAAATAATATACTCTAAAAAGAAGCTTATGTTGAAGAAGCTGCTTTTACTATGTCTCATTTTTAATAAAATATATCGACAACGTTTTCCACATAATGTATAGATCTTTGTAAGCTGAAAACAGTGGTGAAAACTGCTTTTCGAAATTTCCATAAATAATTCAGACATTGAATTTTAAAAATACGTGATTACCAAATCTTTAAAATGAATAAAGATAGTAAGTTGTTTTTAAAAAAACTGCCAATGTGTTATCTATTTAAAATTTCATAGCAATAAGTGTGTTAATAACGGAGATACTACATTCTGAAAATGTAATGAGCACCTCGCAAGTAAAAAAGGTAGGGACTCGCCTTAAGTATAATTTGATTCTCAACGCTTCAACCCTAGTGACAGTGGTCAAGCTTATAATCATAAATACCTGTATAAGTAATTGAAAAGTCTCTGGTAATTGGAAACGACGCTTGTTGCCTTTCTGCGTAGTCAGTTATGACTTAAAAACATTAATATTAATAACAGTGCTGCGTAAATTTCAATAAACCAGCATTTTTATGAAAATAACTAAAATTCATTTCAATAACTTAAGATTAAATTGTAGTTAAAAGTCCAAATTATTTGAGAATAGCGTGTCCTCATCGACGACGTTACAGTCCGCAGAAGAGAGTGGGGTAGCTGTGCCAGTGGCGTTCGTTTGTTGTTGGTGTCATTTGCTGTGTTTGGATTATTGGTAGTGTGTGATTTTAATGTTTCATCAACAAATCTGGCCTTTTCAGAGCTCATATATTAAGAAAACTTTTTGCGAGGTAATAATTATTTAAAAAATTGCCGAATATTAACTTCAAATAATCCCTCCCCACATACAAAACACCGACGCCACTGGTAATGAAGGTCACGCAGGCGATGATGAGTCATCCATGCTACTCTCAAATAATTCGGAGTCTAGGAGGAATGCCCTGACGTCAAGCAAGGTGTTTTTTATTGAACATCGGTTATCGAATAGCGATAAAAGCCGTAAATTATAGAGCACCATTATGAGCAACACCCGACAGCATTCTTTAACACGTAGCATGTTCCCTTCAAATAATGTTTTAGTGTTTAATACATGTTTATTTCTTAAACAATTCATTTGTATACATATATTATCCAGGATATTAACTTGAACGTATAAAATCACAAAAAAGTAAGAAAAATATTTCCCATAGATATTAGAAAAACTAATAATAATTGGAACTTATTCATAACATTGTTGTACAGCGCCTTAAGTAGTGTGTAAAAAGCTCATACAATTGTATACATAAACTCCGAAAAATGCCAAGAATGCAACCACAACACATTACTGTAAGAATGATAGATAAGTTGGTATTTTAATGTAAATAATTTATTTTGTAAGACCAACATATTTTGTAAAACAAACATGTTTGGAACAATCTTTAATTAATAGCTTGTTTGTTTCCAATTCTCTTTCCTCGATATTGGTTTACACGTGTTTTATAAGCATTGATTGTTTTTCTATTAAAACTCCACCCACACTGCAACTTATCTCGAATACTACCCAAGACACAAATTTAGACTGGAAAGTTGACTTAATCTTTATTGCAGACGCCGTTAAACGTTGAAAATTGACATCTTTTTTCGCTTTTGTGGAACTATATTATTTAAGCCAATTTTTGTGCGCTCGCGTCTATCTACAATTAAACTGTTATTTTACTTAGGCGAAGTGAAACTTCCAGAGAATTCTAATAGTTACCAAAATAATTCAACCAGCGGTGGATCTGTAATAAAAATAAAGCATTTATTTATTTTAATTTAGTTTAAAATGAAGAATTCCATGGACTATCTACTTCTCATTGTCAGTTGTATATTGTTTGCAAACATACCACTACACTTTACGAAAAATCAAAAACCTATTATTTGTTGCGTACCTACTTTCAGTTAAAACTAATGTTTAATTAATTTGTAACAAAGCATTTAAGGATCTACATTTTATTACATTAAAAAGTTTGCAGGCTAATTATTGTACAAATATATGTAAATTAATGTCTCTTTTTTTAAATACGCAGAGAATGATTTTGGAAGAATATGGCGAAACTCACTACGACGCAATGAACCAACCGCATCTTTATTTCCAAGTTCTAGCCCTTACTGGTCAGTTTGAAGCAGCCATCGAATTTCTTCCCAGAATTGAGAGATACAAAGTCCACGCAGTTCATATGGCTATAGCTTTAAATGAATTATATTTGCTAGCCGGGTCACGTGATAGCACCTCACCTCTTAGTATGAAGCCCCTGATGTTATTTTTAATTTTTTTTATTTTCTGATGTTTTAGTATCAGTTGATCCAGTGGATGTAAAACCAGCGCGAAGATTGAATCTTGCCCGGTTAATAATGATTTACGTTCGAAAGTTTGAAATAACCTGCCCTAATGAAGCTTTACACTATTTCTATATTTTACGTAATTTCTGCGATGAGAATGGAGTAAACTTATTTAAGATTTGTGCTTGTGATTTAGCTATTGAAACAAAAGAATACAATAAAATTTTAGGGGTTATTCAACCCAACGGTCTGAGGACTAAGGGTTTAATAGATCAGTTCACTAATGCAGAGATTAGTGCTGACGAGATTGCTCAAATGATTGGTGATAATTTGGTGAAAAAGGGTCTGTTTGAAGAGGCTATAGATGTGTATGATATAGCAAATGTAAGTACATCACCTCAGGAAGTTGTGATTATTTATTGAGTTGTTTTAGAATCAAGAAGAAGTTTTAAATTTATTCTGCACCTTATTATCACAAGTGGTGCATTTACCTCCTCAACCCAGTTCTTTGAAGGAGAGGTTACAAGAGAAAGCGAATATTTTAAGTGATCGATATGCAAGAGAAGGTTACAAGGCATCATCAAATATTGTGACTTCATACATAAAGTTGAAACAGTTGGCGATATTTTTTGATCAGTACCATTCTAAACAGTTTTCTTTGGCTTTAAAGGTATACATTTGTTTTGCTAAAAAATGTTAGTCCTAACGTTTCACGCAATCGTAGACATTAACTGATCTTCAAATCATCCCACGCCAAGCACATGAAGTTGAGGAAAGAGTTAAAGCATTTAAAAAGTTAAATGTTGATGTGTGCAAGGTAATTCCTGACGTTTTGTTAGCAACTATGAATATGTTGTTCGCCGACTATCAGAAAATCAAAGAAAATGAGTATATTCCAAGCCGATACCAAGACAACAGTATGGAGAAGGTAAACTGGAGTAAAATAACGAGGATAGTGTTACATTTTTTATTTTTTCTTACAGCAATTATCACATCTTAGGGAACAAGCTAAAATTCTAATAAACTTTACTGGATTGTTGCCTTACAGAATGCCGGGCGATACGAATAGTAAATTAGTTCAAATGGAAATTTTAATGCATTAGTTTTTTTATGGTCATACTTTTTAAATAAAGCTAGAGATTTTCGAAACTGTACTTCTTTACAAAAAGGTCCTTGGAAAAATCAGCCGTTCTGCCTTCTTTCATCTAAAACAGATACGTTTTAGTTACACATATAGCTCACAGGAGTGAACATACAGCCTTATAATCAAGAAATTTCTCTTTGAAAGACATGAAATCTGTAAATGTTGATAATATTTCAAAAATTTCGCCGTTGAGTTCATTTTGTCTTTTCCTGAAAATTAAAAAATGGTTAAAAATTTCTGAGCCACTATACTGATGGGAGATAAAAAATGTAATGCTCAGAGTCAAATTGTAGTGTTTAAACCAGCAAAATGGTAAAAAGTATTTTGGGGCAACGCTAAATTTTACGTATGTTTTTTCCTAATGTAAAATAAAAATATTTAAAAAGTTCTTAGATTAATTTTTTACATAAAAAGTACAACTTTTTTGAGTTTCAAGTCATTTCATTTTACATTTTCGTTTATGATATACCTATTTAACTATATATGTATGTATGTAGGTACACAAATTTTCAACACACTGATTTGTGGAACTTAGCGGTCCTCCAATTTTAGCATTTTTGAACAAATTCAATTGAAAATTTCACTCAAAAACTGCAAACTTACTGGGCCCGAAAGTGTTACATGGGACACCCGGTATAACAACGAATCATTTTTCAAATCTCCTGTGGTTATTCTAATCTAACAATTAGCGAGAGGTGGTGTTCTCATGGCATTTGTTTATTTATTATGGTTTTGTGCTTTATTTATAGACAAATAATAGATTTCCATTTTAAAGTTTTACGTGATTTTTCTCTATTTGGGTGTAAAAAAAAGTATAGTATTATATTCGCAATTATGACCATTATTCACTCAGACGATTTGCTTCGCTCGCCTATAGCTCATTTCGCAAACGTCATCTTTGTGAATAATGGCTAGCGTAATTGCTTATAATACACTATTATAATATGAATTATTTGTAAATAGTAATTTTTACCTTAATTCATATTCAAATTCCAACATGTTAAAGTGGGGAATCGCCTTCTTTAATTGTGTTTCAATATACTTTTCAATAGTTTCAATGTATTTTCTAAATATGTCAGTGTAAATGAGCTTATTTTCTTCAGTATCTTCAAATTCTTTCCAATGATTTTCCATAAAACTTTTATGCAATTTTAAGAAGCTATCATCCAACAAAATATCTTCGATACAACCAATGACTTGGGCAAAGTATTTTTCGCTGTCATCTGCACAGTAATGACTTATGTCTAGGTCATCAGAAGCCTCTAACATACCTAAAATTAATTAGTTTCAACCATTCAACGAAATATATTTATAGATAAACTCACATTGTTCTCTAGCCATTTTCAGTCTTTTAATTTTTCAGAAGACGTTTCGATGCAAGAACGATAAACAGACGATACAAAAACTGTTACTTGTCACAATTAATTTGTCATTTTTAAATGTTGATAAACTGGTTGCTGTGGTAACAGCTCTTCAAAAAAAGCGCTGGATAATCTAGAGACTTTTGTTTCTTCACTGGTGTTCGGTACGTCAGTTGTCAATAGATTTAAATTTGTGCCAGTAAAATTTTAAAAGTTAACGGGTTAACGGATAGTCGTAAAAGAGTGGTTTCAGAAGTGAAATTAAATCAATGGATCAAGTTATATCTTTTGATAAAAGCCTTCAACAGCGCTTACAGGAATATAAAGATGTTCTCGCAGGCTACGAGATTTTACCGGTATCGGCGATACAAAAAGAATGGGGGTTTTATTTAGAGTTAACAGTGGATCCCAATGGGTGGCAAGCCGTATGGAAGATCCACAGAAGAGCCTGCGAAGCCTTTAATATACCATTTCCGTCGATAGTCTTGGTTTTCGTTCTAAATGTTGATTTCAAGGATCTAACGGCACTTGTCAAAGTATTGGCCGTACAAGATGACATACACATTCCTGATAAACACTGTGTACCCTTAGTTCAATTATGGCCTACGAAAGATCAGGATAAAAGTGTAGCTCTCAATTTGCAGTCTACGGCGAATTCTTTAGATATGTTGAAATTTTTCTATAACCATTTGTTCATGCCGTGGGACTATGAAGACGATGATGGTATTGATTGGAAAACCAAGCATTTGGAGCCTCGGCTACGTTTATACTACGACATGAAGAATGGAGTGCTTCCTCGAGTAACTGCGGAGCATTTACATGCACTGATAACAGAAGCTAAAAGACTGCAAGCAAAACAAGAAGCACTCGAATCTGAATTGGAAGATTCAGAGGATTTTGACGACGAGAATGTTAATGTGAATAACGCGAGAGTTCAGGCGTTGATGGAATTGCACATTCGCATGATGGAAATAAAAGGTGAAGTAGATATTCTAGAAAATCCTTTACTAAGAGGTGCCTTAATAAAGAAACACAAAGAAATGTCTTTAGTTAATGATGAAACAAAGCAGAACATTTGGGTTATTTATAATGAAGGTACTGCTAATGATTGTATTCAGTTTTTATCAAAAGTTGAATCAATTTATCGTAACGAAGTATTAAAATTTTCACCACAACTTTCTTCAACTCTTGAATGTGCCAATTCTAATGATGTCTTTATTTTAAATGAGTCTACTCATACTGTTAAAACAACTGGTGCCTTGGAACATGGAGGTATAATGAAGGGAATTTCTTCCCCTGATCGTACAAATCTTACGTCTCAAGTGGAAGATGTAATGTTAGATTTTAGAGGTGAAAATGTACTGCTTGAAAATATTACGATTCAGGCAACATCTCCACAGTGTGCAATCATAGTTCGCGGAGGGCAACTTACTTTAAAAAATTGTAAACTGATGGGAGATGGTAGGTCTTCCACTCATCAAGGGATAATTGTTTTAAATGGAGGAAACTTGGAGATTATAGACAGTGATATCAGTAGTTTTTGTACTGCCATCGTCGGAAATTCGGGAGCCAACATCTCCATCGAAAATAGTGAAATTTACAATTGCAATTTTGGCTTAAAGATATACGATAACTGTGCCTTGAAAGCCATAAAAGCTACCATTAGAAGCTGCAAAGACTATGGAATTTGTGTTGAAACTGAAAATAATGTTAGTGGAGAACATCCTAAAATAGGCGACTTTGACACATTAAATATGTAAAAACTCCACTTTTAAAATCACATCTTTGCTAATCCTATGTTTTTTCAGAATACCAAAATTACAAATGGAATTTATAAAAGGCAATAATAATGCAAAGGGCGACGCCATTATAAATCAAAAATCGAAACTGCAGCCAGTTGAAGATTTATTTGAATGTCCAGATTCAGATCCAACCATCTATATTGAATCAGATGAGGAAATGGATCATCAAAATACCGTTATTGAAAATGTTTGCAAAGCAAAAACTTCCACTGCTGTTTAGTTGCTTCATTTATTTATTTTTTTGTTTTTTAATTGTAGTTTATTTTCTTTATTAAACAAATATATATATCTTAACCATGATTTTTGTCTTGGTAATAGTCAATAAAACGAAATCTTGTCTACTAAATCAATAATTTATTGATGCGAAACCAATGAAATAAAAAATGCATCAAAAATTCACAAAAGGGATCACTACGATGGCGACATGTAACATCAAAACAAGTGATATCTACAATAATGCACCACTGACTAAAAAAACAATTGAAGTTTAATATCCTTGAACAATATCAAACTGATGTTTAACAATCACTGATATTTTAACTAATACTATAAAAATGTTGAAATACATGTAATGTACAATGTATATACATCCAGTCATGTTAATATGGCAATTTAAACCTTATAAAACTTCAACAATGGATCTTTTATCTCAGTTGAACAAGTAGAAGTTATGGACACAAACAAAACATATTTTAGCAACAAACACCTGTACATGTTTTTGCTGATATCATGTTGTAGTTATGAAATTATGTAAGATTTAAACAGAAGTTTAACACAGAGTCAGTACAAGCATTATTTTGACTAGGTCTATAAATCTGACTATTATTTTACCACATATGCGTCTCCCTAATTTCGCTGATGATGTGTGAAGCTTTTTGAAGAGCCTACAACAAATTAGTTAAAGTAAATCATATTGTATTAATGGATACTTACCTTCAACATGTCTCCAGCTTCTTTGCGCCTTTGTGCTATATGTTCAGATTCATCCAACAGTTGGTCAGCATTATCAGCTTTATACAAATGCGTTACTAATTCAGACTGCAAGTTATCTTTTACGAAGTTTACTAAGAAATGCATCACGGCCTTAGGAACTGTGTCCTGAATGGATTTCCTTACAATGTAGAAGTACGATTTTATTAAGCGTTCTGCAAATGAATTAAGAAAGATCAAGTACTAATTATGTGTAAGCGACAACAATCGCTTCTTTAACCATTTAAAATTTAAATTGAATAAATCTATTTTTACATAATAACTCCTGCATTAATATTCATTCAAAATCAACATACTGTTATTTCCAAAGTTAATGTTAAAACAAATAAAGATTGCAAAGCAACAAATTTGCTTCCATCAAAAATGAAAAATTAATGTGAAGTAGGTGTTCATATTTAAGTAAAATATAAATAACAGAACAACGGAGAGTTGAACCCTTTAATTTAATACAGGTCTAATATACTGTACAAGAACTCACCTATTATTTCACAGTCGTGCTCCTCATTTTCTGACAACTTTCTATAACTGTTACTATTTATTGGAACTTGCGGTAACAGATTAACAGGTTTAACTGGGCTTAAAACAGATTTTAAGTCGCCATCATTTCTCATATTTTCTGGTACGCTATTTACATGGTTGGTAACCGGCGTATCAGTTCCATTTTGAGCCATAGTTAAAGCAGACACCCAATTTGTGGCATCTTCGTTTAGCTGTGGATTACTTGAAGATCGAGACTGTAACAGAATAATAATTTACAACTATGCTTCTTATTCAAAGAATAAACAAGTGGAATGTAGGTTATAAACAACTAAGCACACAAAATGTGTTATTATGTTATATTAAAGGATCGCCTTATTACTAAAATATTGTTAAAAATTCAAAAGGACAATTGCATTATTTTATTTAATTTTCGCGCGTTATCTATCACATAGAGTATACGAATTTAAGCCAGCATTTTTTATTAACAACAAAATCAAATCGATTCATCGGGTTACCAATCTAGTTATGGTTCATCTGATCCATGTTTTAATACTTCAAAATGCGAAAATTGGTTTTCACGTTCCACAATATGTCTACTTCTATTTTTAGAAAATCATAAATCATGCGAGTTTATCTATGATTAAAACTGCAATAAAATGTTACATTAAGTTTGGAGAGTGCCTTAAAAAAATAAATAAATGCCAGTCTTCGAATAAAAGGTTATGCAGACGATCTTAAATTGGCGATTTCACTTAATTTTTTAAAAGTTAAAAAAACTTGAAACTTGCCGAAACTAAATCATACTACTGTGTATTAAGTAAATTCCAAAAAGATGTGCAAACAGAATTTAAAGTATTTTTTTTTAATAATAAAAATTGGTCTAAAGTTGTTTCGACAGAACTTCTCTCGCACCTGAAATGTACAATGAAACATTCCAGCATTTTCGAGTTGAGTTTTTTCTTTACACAATTTTGTGATGACGTCATCAACATTTTTGCAAGGACACGTATATCAACTTGGATATTGGTGCAGCGTAGTCCTAAAAATTGTATTGTATTCCCAAAATTTTCTGGCAAAAAATTGAGTGAGCCGCTCCTGATTTAAACAATAAAATAAACTCAATAAATCATTAATTTTTGTGAGCCACCTGTTTAAGCAAATCTAAAAATATGAACGCAATGGTAAATCACAAGTAAAAACTCATCATATTTTGCACATTTTGTGTACAATTTATTCGGCAAAATTTTGAGATGACGTCATCAATTTTTTTAAGGGGATGAATTTTTGTCTTTTGAAGTCTTTGAGAGTGAACTTGATATCATTAAACAAATTGCCATTAATAATAAATTTTCCTGACACTTAGTTAAGAAACTCCTCTATAAACGTTATATCAACATAAACTTTTCTATAAATCCATAACAATTTCCAATCACAAGCTATCTCCTTCTTTGGTTTTCTTTCTCTGTCCATCTTTAAAATTTTCAAAAAACTAGACTATAAAATAATATAAAGGACAGTATCAATTTGTTGAAAAATTAATGCCAAAGTTTCTAGAAAAAAATACACTTTGTCATTGTGCTCACTTAAGCTTGAGTAGACAAAAAATTCCAGTTTGCGATAAATAACTCGTATTCCTGATTACCGAAATCAAATTATGACGACCCCCAAATATTGTAAACATAATTTTCTTAGAGTGTACGTTGTTTTCCAATATCAGTCTTATCTTAGCAAGTTGTAGCCCCGCCCACCCACCCTCTATTTTTTTAAAAGGTATGTCATTTGCCAAAATCAGTCTTACCTTAGCAAGTTCTAGTTTTATACATTTTGATCAAAAATTTACCATGCTTATGATAACTGTAAAACATTTCCAAAATTTCAAAGCGCATTCGGTTTTGTAATTCCTGATTAAATCAATAAAATAAATTCGCGCATTTATTAATTTTTTTGAGCCACCTTGTATATGCAAAACCAAAAAATATGAAAGGAATGATAAATTACAAATTACAAGGGCAGGCAATTTAGATAGGATTTATTCGACAAAATTTTGAGCTGACGTCATCAGTTTTTTGAAGGGGATAGGTAAATATATTTTGATTAAACGTTTATCATGCTTATCGTAACTTTAAAACATCTGCAACATTTCAAAGCATTCGGTTTTGCAGATTCAAAATTAAATTGCAAAATGCAATATTTCGCTTACGCTCGGGAATTAAAAACCTCCCCGTTTGGCAAAATGAATGCAGATTATAGTTTTCAAATTTCAGACAGTTGAATAAAAAAATCCTTCATGTAATTCTCACTTTATCATACTGTAGCGAAATTTACAAGCACTACAAATTATAAAAGAACCTGAACTATGGTTATTGTGTTGAAAACAATGCATCGTATAATGTAGATTTCAACGTAAATTTATTAACACTTTGAGATGACGTCATCAAATTTTTAAGGAAGAAACACGTTAATTTTGATACGTGCACTGCAACATTAAACATAATGCTTCTTGTAATGTAATCTTGCCACAACGATAAATAAATTAGGCGTTGTAATGAATCGGTAACGCATTATTTATTATTTTTTTTAACATTTAAAAATTTCAAATTTGTAAAAGTAATTAAATACGTTACTAGTATAAAAGTATTTGATATCGAATAACTTGGTTTTATCACTAAATTATTGGTGATTTCAGTAACAAAGTCAAAATTTGTATGCCCAAGAACAAAATAATAATAGTGAACATTGTATAAATATGAAAGGCTCCACATATCCAAAATCCATTATACATACATTAATGAATTTTATCAATGTTGATTTTTCTACTCATATTTAAGTTGGTGCCTTTTATATAGTCCAAATATTAGATTGGAGTTTTCCACATAATGAAGTAATAGTACATTATGGAACTAGTGGATGAAGTTGAATTTCAACGGCGAGAGTGATTTTTTCACACGAGCGAGTGCAACGAGCGAGTGCGAAAAAGAAACTCGAGCCGTTGAAATTTCTTCATCCGCGAGTTGCATATACTATTTTTTCTAAGAAATTAGGAAATAAATGTTTGTTTATGGTAGGTATTTTATTTTTGAAATACATTAACTGTAATAGAACAATTTGTGCAATTATCACCAATAATATTTACACTTTTATCGTAAGTATTATTTGAACTTGTACCTTTGTTTAAACTTAGTTGGCTGCTTCCTGTATCAATAACTGCACTTGTATCAGATTCGAAAATGCCGCATTGGCAGCATTCAAAATTTCTTCAGAAACTTCGTCAGTCTCACTCATGTTCATTGTTTTCACTTGTGTAAACTAGCAGTATTAAACGTCAAACACTAACGGGTCGTCCAGCCTAGGCGTCATGATTTTCGAAGCGCGCGAAGCGGACGGTGCGGTCGGTGCAGGCGATACGCGACACGTTTCGCTAGCTGCGAAACGCTCAGGCTGGACGACCCGTTAAAATCGTAGACGGCCGAGTATTTTTCCACTAGAGGGTGAAATGAAATTTCATCCACTGCCAGCGATGGGAAAATGACAAACTTCAACCTTAATGAGTAGAAAAAACAAATTACATACCGGTAATTAAAGCAAAGAAATCAATTTCCAACTGAAGATGTCATAGGTTAACTAGAAATGTCTAAAACTATGAATTTGCTACACTGCTGTACCCCTAACTATGAGCAGTATTTTTAAAGACAAAAATTAAATTTCCTCCATTCTTTTATAGTTATATTTATTGTAAATTTTATAAATTTTGAAGTAATTAATAAGGACAAAGATTAAGAAACCTATAAGTATACTTTTTTAATATTAGCAAAAGATGACACATCAGTTGTTATTATATTTGTTACTGATATGAAACATGTCGATGTGACAATATTATGAACATATGAAATTGTAACACAAAGTTAACAAAAATAGACTTCAAAATTAGAGAACAGTACAAAACGCAACTACCAGATAATGTTATCTTTATCCCGAAATATTTTATACTTATCAATCTATTACTATCACTAATACTTATATATGAGCAAAATTCACTAGAATTACTAAATTGGTTTTGTTATTAGTTTTGCAATCAAATGAATAAAATACCTGAACAGCATTCATGAAGTCATTGTAACTAGACACGGGCAATATTCGAAATAGATAATTAAAGAAATCGGCTTGATCAGATGCTGCAACAGCACCACGCGCGATCTACAGAAAACTAAAATAATACCAAAAAAAATCGAAAACAAACATCTAAAACACATACCAATTCTTGAGGTTCTGCCATCGTTTGATGCTTAGTAAACATACTCTTTGGTCTGTTAGCACGAGATCCTTCGCCAGACTTGATCATCGACGGCACCATCGCAATTTCCTTGTAAAAATCTGGGTGTTTAGTGTTAATGTACGCTAATTCTATCTGCACTAAATTCTCCACCATCTGATTGGTAGTCGGCAAACGTCGTCGCAACAATTGTGTCACCACGTCAACAATTTTCTCATACAACTTCGGAAAACGTAACATTTCCTGTTGAACTTCACTTCCGCAGTGCTAAAAATAAAGATAGAATGGAAAACTATTTAACTAGAATAACAATTACTTGTATAATACGTTGCATTTCTTCATGGATTAATTCGACACACCGCAGCGACGGTTCTTCAAGTCTTCGGATTTGTCTTTTCACTAACAATTCGAAAGAGACTTCAGGAACGAAAAGTGCGGGTCTTGGACCGTTTGCGTTACGAATGGCAGTCAGAATGTCCATTTTTGTTAGTCCTGCGAGAGGATGTATCGAATCCAAGGTTCTTCCAAAAGTCTCGTGGAAGATATAACAGATTCTTGCACCACCACACAACTCCGTTGTTTCGATATTTCGAGCTGTTCCTTCGATCGTTGAACAGTAAGCAGACGCGAATTTAGTGATGATTTGAAGCAAAGTTTTGCTTTTATCGGAAATATCTTCCCCGTATGAGTTAAGTAGTGATTGAAATTGAGACATCATTAAGTTGACACGGGTCTAAAATTGCTTCTAAGATATCGTGGTATACAACTAAATTAATAAAACTCACCTTTAAATCAGGTAGGCAATCTCGTATGTGGTGCATTAATAACCTATTCAAGGTTTTAGCTAAGTAAGGAGTACCATTTCGAGTGGCTAGTGTGGGATATTTGCTTTGTAAAAAGGTAGCTTCATCTTTTAAGGCCTCTTTGATCGATTTATTATTTAAGATATCTTGTTGTGAACGATTTACCACACCGATTATTCCTAACTTTACCGGGATAACACGCCCGCACAAGATATCAATTGCATCAGTTCCTAATTGCGTTAAGTTTAATGATTTCTAACAAAGTTGAAGGATTATCTTTAAATCTTACCTGCATCCATAAGATCCAACTTGGTAACAACAGCCAAAGTTCTGCGTCCATCTGGATCAACGTCTTTTGCTATGGCCAAACTTTCGGAAGTAGCCATGTCGGTGTTTGCTGTAACTACAGCTAAAATGATCGAGTTGGGATTAGAGGTGTACTTTAGAACTATTTCACGAATTTGTTGTTCAATATCGGGTGGTTGATCTCCAACGGGTACTTTAGTGATGCCAGGTAAGTCCACTAATGTTAAGTTAACGACTTTGGTGGAATAGATTTTTAGATTAATAGGTTCAGCACAAATCCCTTTGTTACTGCCAGCGATTTTATTTGTTTCGACTTCAATTTCTTGCCGAATTTCGTCAAAATCTTTAAATATCCTATTCTTGGAGTGAAGAAAAACTCCCCAGTCTTCAACTTCCACTGTTCCTAAAAATTAGCAACAGACGTATTTTCACTTCAATAATATAATAATGTGTTTATTGCACAACCTATTACAGAGCAATTGATAGAAACTGAAGTTTTATTAATACAAAAAAGTAAATATATAAAAAAAATAAATGAATAAATATACCGGATACCTGAGCATTCATTAAGGCTAAATGGGGAATTACTTAACAAATAGAAAAAACAAAAAGATAATATAAAGTAAAAAAGAATTTCTACATACCAACATAGGTAACAATAAATGATTAATCTCTTGCGAAAATACCTGAAGCCAGATACTTAAGATCTTTCATATTTATATTAAAAATGTCACAATCTCCAAGTTTGTTAATAAAATTACTACACATGATATATATCGGGTTCTTTACCAAAATATTTGTACGAGCAGGGGATAGATGTCAAGGTAAAAAGTATCTGTTATTTACATAAAAGACGTTTTGACGTAAAATCTCACTCCAGTCAATTTTTATAATGGACGATTTTAAAAAGAATCAGATGGAAACGTTTGAGTTACAAAAAAAACCATTACGACCATGAAGAAAAAGTAAATTATCTCTCATACACTGTTAAGAAGTACGAGCGCTTGGAATCTCGAAAACGGTCGATTTTTCTTTTCAAAATACTTATGAGTTTCTGTACCAGCGACAACATATCACATCTGGTTTTACCAGAGTATTAACTGATTTCAGCTATAATTTTTTTGCGTAAATAGGCTTTTATGTAACATTTATGAGTAAAGTTTGATAGACTATTTTAAATAATAACAGACATGACAAAAAATTAGTAGACTGCATATCATGTTGTGAAAAAGTGCTGTATATTTTTTGGCTAAATAAACTGAATACCTGCTACTGTATTATGACAGCAAATTTTCGAAGTGTGCTCTTTCTGACAAGAGGAAAATCTTCAAATGTTTCTCGCGTAGTGTTGTATACAATTATTCGTTGTAATTGGTTAAAGTTCGTGGAGTTTGGTACAACAGTTTTTTGATAACACCGTGGGAAAAGAGTCTATTAAAATGAGATCTAGTCTGATCACTTTATTTTAAGTTTATGAAGATCTATTTTTATTGAGTTTAAAACAAATGTTAGTTTTTTATCAAAAATTCAAAACGGTTCGCTACTTCGTTTCTGGAATAAACTATTACGTAAAAGTTAACAATTAGGGTAGATTAATAAACAGGCGCAATAGCATATCACGCCGAACATTTTAAGCGATAATTCCTTTTACGAAATTTTGAGATAAGGCATTTTTTTATGGAGGCAAATACATATATTAATTTGACTTGTACAATGCAACACTAAAAATAACACCACTGTAACAGTTGGTCAGCGTTTCAATAGGCCATAAGTAACGTAATCCTTTTACAGTGTTGCAACTTGTACGTTTTAAAAAGTGTAATAAAATTAAAACTACTATTACAACTACACTGCAGGACTGATCAATTGTTGCTAATAATAAATTAAAATTCTTAAATTAAGATCAGTTTGCAGTTCTAAAAATAAAACAATAAAAACAAAATGCTTTAAATAAACAGAATTGTAATTGTTGAAGTGCTAAAAATTGTTTTACTACTTTTTGTTGGTTTATTTGAATTGTTATTAATAATACTATATGATGATAATCAAAATTGCATAAACAATGGTCATGTGATTCTACATTGATACAGAAACGGGGATTGTGTTTAAAATCACCTCCTGAAATAAAGAAAGTGTCAAAACTACACAATTGAAAATAAATCCTTTCTTTTTTAGAACACATAAATAATTATACATGAAAAATCGTGCACATTTAGACTAATTACCCATTTTACTATGTAGTGAATGGTTATTGTACTACATTTTAAAATTCACTCATCTATTCATAAGCTTTCTCACATAAATTAGTGTATCTGTTGGAACTGTTTTAAATGTATAAATACACAACAAATGACTTACCATCCATTGCAGCCCTATGTTCCCTATCATCTTTTGGGCAATAAACTAACTGTAAAATAAGGGGCACTCGTGTCACAATTCCTGTTCCTCTTGGAAGAAAAGACTTTCCCACCAAACTCTCGATAACCGAACTCTTGCCAGAACTCTGCAATTAGGTTATATGAATTACATAAAATAATAAATTTATAATAAAAAATTACCTGAGATCCCAAAACAACGATTTGAGGTAAATGGATGGCATCCGATCCTACTGTATTAAAAACGTCTTGTAATTTGTTAATTACTGGAATAAGGGCTTCCATTGTGTTTTGGAACCGGTCGATTTCCAAAAATATCGATTACGATTATCTAATGGTCTTTAATTTTCGAATGCTTTTTCGCACCACTTTATACTAACATTGTTTAATTGAATAACACACGATCTCTGAAGTTGTACTTTAACTAATTGTTCGTTACCTCCACACTAGTTTTACGGTTGAAGAACAGTTTTTTTCTGTCAACTGTCAATCAGGGACTGTCAACTGTCAGTGACGGTTTTTTAGTGTAGTGGAACTTATTACGTTGGCGGTTCCAATACTACTAGACTGGTGTGGTGGGAATGGAGCGCCTTAATTTTAAATTTCAACAGTAAATACAGTTGCTAAATCTATCTAACGACATAACTCTACAAATTTTTTATAAAAATACAATGTAAGTACATATAAAATCAAGAGTATAACTTGTAGTAATGTAATTATGAATTTTCTATTTCCTTATGAGAAGAGAATTGTATTGTTGGTCGTATATGCAAACATTTATTTTTTTATAAAATTTTAAATCAGAAAAACATTGCAAGTACTACACTAAAAACAGATATATGTGTATTTACTTATTAGATATTACATACATACTTAGCATTAACATAACGCATATTAAGTGGGAACTTCAAACAATAGTGATTGCATCTAGAATCTGAAGATCCAATTTTCAATCGGCCTTCGGTGTGACTAAACACTTTGCAAATTTTCAAATGACATAAGTGATTTTGTAGTCTTTTTTTTCGAATAAAATTTCGATTCCATATTTTTTCTGTTCTGCTTTTTTTTTACTACAAAATATGCGCTTTACATTTTATTTTTCTTCTAATTTTCTTTAGTCACAAATTATATTTGCCTTTTACTTGCGTTCCACTATTTTATAAAAATATCGTATAAAATATTTTTGAGGGAGACGCTAAAGACTTTTTTTGTTTTTAAATAATGTTATATGTAGTCCAAAAGCTATAATGCTTGGCCATCATAAAATTATCCCATTGTGTCGAAGTTAAGTTGTTTACAATAGAAAAGGTTTTAGGGTCGTAAATAACGTGTCCACTGCAGCTCGACCGGTTGTTGTCGTGTAGTTCAGGGGCGGCTTTCACTAAATATGTAAATCCACCACTCCATTATTTCTTTACTACCTGCAGCCGCTGAGGGTTCCGAAATAACCACTCGCTTTGAAAGCCGGCCCTGTTAAATGTGAGCAAGAAATGTTTAGAAGACGATCTATTGCCATCTGGTAAGCTTAGTGCGAACCACACAAAGGGGGTAATTATTTGTTGTCACCTACTTTTATGATGGTCATATAACCTTATTTATACCTTTTGGGGACTAGTAACCTATATACTTGTCTTAACAAAATTAGATACTCCAGAAAGTATTTGTAAGATTACCAACTGACGGGTATGTGTATGTTAAAAATACACGTGTCCATTATTCGACATTAGTATCCTTATTACCTCATATCATTAATTAAACACATAATAATACAGAATGGTCCACGAGTAATAAAGAGCTCTTTATTAGTCTGAATAAATTTAAAACGCAACCAAATAACTACATTATCATTACTTTCTAGATGCTTGTTTTGAATTTTTTTAAATATAGAACATAGCAATCTGAACTTCAAACTTTGACGAAATGCTTAAAATTTGTCAGTTTCTGTCGTACGTATTTTGCACAGAATCCTTTTGGAATCGGATTGGCACATGTGAAAGATATGAGGGAAAACACTTCGAACATTTATTATTATTATTAATTGAATACCAACAGGCGTTAACCCAATTACGGTGTCCAAATGAAATTATTGCATTAGCTAAAAGTAAAACACGTTTTTTTCTTTTAATTTGAAGTACCTGTAAAAACTCTTGACAAGAGTTACGATTACTATGTTTAATGCTCTTATTGTAACAGTGCCGTAACAATTAAACTGCGGGCCTGTGTTCTACAACACTGTGGGGCCCCTAATGAACACCGAAATCAAAATATTTAAAAATACGAGTATAATGAGTAAAGTATGAGTAAATTGCAATTAGGGTTTACGTTTTATTAAAATCATTCTACCTAAAACACTGAATAAAAAACAAAATACAATAACTACCTGAATACATATAATTAAAATATAGAAATAACAATGCCCATTTTTTTTTATCTCAAAATTGTTTTCTTCTTGCTTTGCAATGGGCACACGTTGATACAAGATTTGACACATCTAAGCTTCTAGCAATTTGATTTTCAATTGAGAGATTCAGTGAAGATAATCTGCATTGGCCCATTGTGTTTCTTAAAAAATTTTTAGTTATTTTTAATTTCGAAAAAGATCTTTCCGATGAAGCCACCGAAAGAGGTATTGTAAGAAAAGTGAAACATGCTGTGATAATTTCAGTGAAACTAGTGCAGGTACTAGGTACTCATTCTGTAATAATTTCGTGGTCCAGTTTTTTTTCTACTTAAAAGATTAATCAGATATATTTTATCATTCCAAAAAAGCACCACAAGTACAAAATTAAAATAGTTTTGAAAATACAAAAGTTTTCATAAAACACAACTGAAACTGAATTTTTTTTTCACGTCTTATTACAGCATAAAGTTTCATTGAAGATCTGAGAACAAAATTTAAGCATTTTGTTGTCCTGCATCATAGATTAGTCATACTTTTGTCGCATAAAGATTGCGACAGGTTTATTAGAAACAGATGCTGCTGCACCGCCGGTGCCGGAGTTATATTAGTCATTTATTTGTATCATGTGTTTATCAATAGAATATCATGTATTTACCAATACGGTAAATATGCATAAGTATATAATGCTCAATTTTGAATTGTTAATTAGTCTTGTTGCTATACTGTCTTACTGCTGGTCGTAATAAACTTTTTTAAAAACGCAAGTTTGAAAAAGAGTTATTTAATTCCGGTCGCTAAAACCCGAGTTTATTGAGTCTATGATATATTGAGATGCCGCCAGAGGTCCAGCCCTTTGCAGCAAAAAAATCGTAAATAGCAATGAACGATCGATCCTGGGATTACCGCATATTTTCGAATTTTTTATTTCGGGATGTAATTTGCTCAATAATATAAAAAAATCCAATAAAAAAAAATGTTCGTCTGACCGGACCGGGCCCCTTGAAGAAGCGGGCCCGTATTCCGGCGAACACATGGAACACCGGTAGTTACGCCACTGTAATTGTAATTACAATAATATCCACCTTTGTGATGAAAATGTATTTTGGGTTGCCTTTCAAATTTATTCAGACTCTTACTCATGGACCACCTGCATGTATTTAATCAATGCACTCATCTTTCCAATGTGAATGAGTGCATTTAAAGATTAAAAAAATAAAAATTCATTAAAATCTTGTCAACGACACCTCAAACCACTCAAACCTAAATATCTTTCTAATGGTCGGGACCGGTTTTGGCTTGTCAGGGTGGAATTTTTATGCCCTTAACTTGTTACAGACAAATGATAAAAAATAAGCAAAAAAACTTTATTTGATGTAAGCATGTTAGCCTATAACAAAGATACAAAAAATACGAGCATATGGAACGAAAAACACTAGCTTAAATCATTAAATTTAAAAGAAACACGAAACTTGACAGGGAAATGGGAACATCTATTTTTGCTAGCATTTAACTATCGACGTTTTGTTCCCAGCTAATAAGTCGTCTATAAAATCGGACAGATCTAAACTTTCGCAAACTCGATACTCAATTGCTAAAAGGTTTAACTGAGATGAGCCGTTCTTGGCTCATAGCTCGCAAATAATTTTCTATTAATTTTAACTTTGAAAAACTTCTTTCATTTTAGACGAACAGTAAATAATCATGTATTCTAGATTATTAAATTATTAAGTATTAAAAACGGTAAGGGTGGTCTACTGGTGTGTGGAAACTGCGAAAATTATATATAGTTGAGGGATTATAAAAAAATAAATAGGTACTACAAAGTTGGTTGATGAATTTATAAATTTAGGTGTACGTACATCAAGATTTTCATCGCAAAAGCAAATTTTTGGTAAAAGTTGAAATAAAAAACCAGTTTCTATGTTATTTCAGTCTTATTTAACGAACTTACAACATTATGTTACATCTTTATATTTTAAGCAAACTCAAAACTTTATGATTCAGTGTTTACGTGTAAAATTTAAAATTTCTCTTATGAAATTATCAAAGTGCACAATTTGTGGTCAACCGAGAGGATTTACTTTGATTATGAAATACCTTGTAAATGGTCAACTAGTTAGGAAACTACTAGTTAGGCTACTATATAATATTATCAATATATATCACATTGGGGAATTTACAGTAAATGTAAGATATGTGACCAAATGTATATGGGTCACGCTTTCATTTATAGGACATTAAGTTACATTAGTACAACATTTTTAATACATTATTAAATAATATATGTTGGCAATTATGATTGTAAAGTAAATGACGGATACAAAGTAACAAATTTAAAAAAATCTATAACTACGTTAAAATTATTCATTGTTATATGGTTAAACATCTTACTTAGGTCTTACTAAAATTTATTAAACAGCACGATTAATTGATGGAACGTAACAATTTCTCCATTACATTGAATTGGAAGCTTAGTAATAGACAGTATAGTAACAGAGAAATCGTAAGCAAAACTCGAATATCAAAAGTATAAGATAATACGTAAAGAATAATATCAAGCTTTTAACAATCAATATTTATGTCTCATTTCTAATCATTTAGTATAGCTTATTTTTATACATTTAGGCAATATGTATCAGTCACAACAATCTTTATAGCATTTTGATAACAGATTTGCTTAGATAGAAGAAAAAGTTTCTATATTTAATACGTTTATGATTGTACTAAAAATCTACAACAGTAGATAGCAGCTTCAATAATTGAACATTCCATCTACTTAATTGAGATCCGTATTTCACCTGAAAGATTATAAATCTTCACACATTTAGGATGAATACGTCTTTTGAATTATTGAAACTGTTATTGTTTCCAATTCCAACCAACATTTTGGTAACAAATATCTAGTTTACTAAAGTCTACCATAAAACTTGGTCTTATTGGAGATCGTTGGCCCATTAGTTTTAAAACTTGACTAAAGAATCGGGGGAAGAAAAGTTCCCGAGTCATTCAAGTTTGAGTCTAATTTAGAAGTACTATCATGTAATCTAGTATCTAAAATTTTGGCCTTGACTTTATCACCCTTTGGTGCAACACTTTTGTGATGAATACGAGAATGACTACTACCAGACGTGCTACTAGACGAGTGACTATCGTGCCCCACATTAACTTCGGAATGACTATGTCTTAAATCACTTCCAGATTTTGGATAACCAGAAGTGCCAGAGAGGATCCACTCGTGCCGCAGTGCTTCGTCGGGTGTCATCCTCTTCTTGGCGTTCCATCTATAAAAATTCGAATTTTAGTAATGTTAAAGGTAGTGAAAAAAAAAAAGAACTTACTCAAGACACCTTGATATAAAATCTATAAACAACGGATCATCACAGCGTAACGCAATAGACAAACTTTTCGATCCTGGTTTTCGTTTTCGTCCCTTCGAATTTGTGATGCATCTAGGATTTCCCCGCGAATCTGCAACAAGTGTTTTCAAATAATTTATACAAATTTGAAAGCTGTGTAATCGTTATTTACAAGTGTCAAGGACGGCAGTGCTTATTGTTAGCTAAGACTAAAAAATTTGCTGACTGAGCCGAAGGCCGAGGTTTACAGTATTATCTTACATGGGCAAAACATAACTTGCTTAATAGATTTTTTGCATGATCAATTAAAAATAGAAATAACATTGTGCAGAAACCAAATTTAGTATGAATTGGCTTATACTTTACAATGAAAACGATTTTGGTTTGAAATGCAAGAAGAAACAAACATTTTGTGTTTAACTTTTCTCACGAAGTTAAAAAACACCACAATCTGTTAAAGGTTTTCGAACTTGTACGTGCACTGGAGAAATATAAATATTAAAGAAAAGATTTAATTTTAACTTTACTGAAGTTTCCGGAAAACCTACTATCAGACATGCATTCTCTGCTAAAAATGACTAATGTTCCAAGACTTTATGATTAAATAAAAAAAATTTGTAAATTTTATGAACAGAAAAATGAAGTAGAAGATAAGGATCGGAGAAAAGGTACCTACATGAATTAAAAAAACATATATCTGAAAAAAATTACAAAATTTACTGGAAATTTTAAATTTAAGACATATAAAAGTCTCTAACAGTGAAAACATTATATAATTATGCAAGTTTAAATCTTTATATATTTTTTTAATTACTTATTAAACCAGTCCATTGTAATTAGAAATGCACACATATAATAGTACAGATAATTCATAGTAACGTTATACTAAATTATTAAAAGACAACTTGTTGTTTAGGTAGATTTTCCATTATTACAAAGCAAATTTTACCAAGGAATGGACATTTTTGTGTTGTGATTTAGACAACCAGCAGATCTATTTAAATCAACAAAAAAATGCAGTGGTTACTTAAAAAATGTGATATGGTCACTAGTACATAACACTTAATTGCAGCTAAATAATAAAAGGATACGAACATATAAAACTGTGTATTCTTAAATCGATATATTGTTACTGGGCATTATGTATGTGATTTTTATCGTAGCTTTCTCAATTGAAAAATAAAGGTCATCTTCATTATCGATGACCTCGAACGTAACTATTACAATCAATCCCAAGATTTTTTTTAAATCACTTCTATTGCCAACTAATTTACTGTGCCAATAGTAATTTTGAAAGAATATCATCGATTTATCTAAGCCAACAAAAAAGCTCGGAAAATTAATCTGCTGCTGATTTAATCATTGTGGTATTTTTTTTACACTTACCGAAAAATAGTCGTTTTCTTGTGGCTACAGCTATAAGTTCATCAGGTGGTGGTCCCAGCACCTCCATGAGACACGCAAGTTGTTCAACTTCGTTTTCACCAGGAAACAGTGGGTAACCGGTATACAATTCTGCTAATATACAACCTAAACAAAAGCAAAGTAAATATTACCTCCCAATAAAATTGTTCCAATTTTGATCTTACCTAAACTCCACATATCGATGGGAGTCCCGTAAGTAAGTCCCAAAATTACTTCTGGGGATCGATAAAAACGTGATTGAATATAAGTGTATACCCGTTGGTTTGTATAACATGAACTTCCAAAGTCTATTACTTTTATCGAACTGCTTCCCCTCTGCTTTAATAGAACATTTTCCTGTAAAAAATTGATAAAAATGTCATTATGCCAGAAAAATAGGAACGCGCTAAAAGCTTAGTTGTGTGTTTATGTGTTCCGTAAACGCATTTTACTTTCGCTTGGCGGTACACTAATTTCAATGTTGAATTATGTATGAAGTTTTCCACGTCTTCCATCCCTCAGATTTATACTAGGCCTAACTAAATTTCAAGTAGATATCGAGCGAGTGTAGTTTTATAACTCCTGTTTGTTACAAATTGACAGGCTGGCTTGTAAAAAATTCGCAAAATATCTCCGAAGTTATATCTCAGTCGCTTTCAATTAAAGTGAATAATGAGCGGATTACGTTAGCAGAAACAAGCAAAATTACGTAAAATATTTGTAACTGTGTTTTGAGTAAATTCATAAGGAAGCTAAACAAGTAACAAAACTTCGTTCCCTAAAGTTTACAAATCTCCGAGAGCAGCTCACTCCTACTTTGCATTAACGTTTGGTTACGGTTTACTGCCGAAGCGTCGCTTCATTTTCTGTAAATACTCGTCTCTTTAATGATCGAAATAGATATAGTTTTTATTTTTACTAACATAATTAATTGTAATTTACTTACGAGTGAACAATAAAAAACGATCAAAACAGCTATGAATTTTTAAAAGTATGTCGTTGATTATTGCATTTTAAACTCAAACTTTCCAATTGACGATGATCTGATTGGCCAAAAATTCTATCAAAGACAAATAAATCTTCAAAAATCCACGGCCACCTCTGATCGTGTTTTTTATTGCCCTCTCCGTTTAAATAATTCAATAAACATTTGCCGTTGCTCATGAACTCCTATTTCCTCGGACTGGTAAGCTATACTTCTATAATAACTATTACTATTGTAATCATTTTGAACCAAACATGTAATTTTTACAGTGCTGTCAATATTAGGTGAAAATAAATGCATAATACTATGTATAAATATTAAGCCGAGACCCTACCTTTTTGACTGGCGGGGTTTTTATTACACTTTCAGAATGTAATATCTCCGTTATTAACAGATTTATTGTTTTGAAATTTTAAATATAAATTGTCCACAACTTATTCGACACAACAGTTTTTTTAACAGGTTACCATCATCATTGTTTTTGAAGGTTTAGTGAAAATTTTCTTTGTGTATTTTAAAAATTCAATATCTCAAACATTTGTAAAAAAATTCGGAACGCGGTTTTCACCACTGTTTCAGCTTACAAAGGTTTACACGCTGCATGGAAAACATTGCCGATTTATTTTCTTGTCATTTCCGACCAAAAAATCGACATTGTTTCCCAAGTAACGGATAGAGTTCTGTAAGCTGAAAACAGTGGTGAAGTCTACGTTATGCAATTTCCATAAATAATAGAGATATTGATTTTTAAAGATGCGTGATGAAAAATTTCCCCAAAATGCTAACTCTTGCGTTATATAGTGAAAGGTGTGGAGAGGGTACATTTAAATTTAATAACTAGGTCTATTAGGAGCTATTATGTTCTGAAAATCCCATGAGGCAAAGTTAGGGAGGGACTCCTCTTAAGGCGAGGTGTGATATGGAATAAAATTTATTTGTTTACTTTTTTCCTAAATTCAAATGGCTGGAGTGTATTATGCAGTTATGGCATTTCTACAGATTTTTACATTGTTTTCCTCATCGAATAATATCCAATACCATTTTCGTCGCACAATTTTTTTTAAGCACGAGTGTATTTGTATCGTATATTGACCTTTTTTGTGAAAATGTAAATGGTCTAAATGAAGTACAAAGAAGGTTCTGGAAGTTTATTTTAATTTTTTTATAATATAGTTAATGTGATTGAATACTGTTACCAAATTTGCTAAAACAATAATTACCAGTGTCTTCATGACCTTATTTTGAGACTCATTCTTTTTACTTTTGTAAGTCCTCGCTTGTGTTCGATACCGTATGGGAGCTGATTCTGATAATAATACGCCTATCAAATAAACAAATGGGGAGTCTGATAACAAGTTTCTTGGTTTGTGACTGTATATGTGTGGCGGCAAAGTAAACTCATTCATTATTAATCTGGATTTGTCTTTAAGGCCAGTCGTTGCGTTTGGCTCTTATGGGATGTTCAGTGCATTTTCAGAATGTAAGATTTCCATTATTAAAACGTTCATTATTGTGAAATTTTATATGTAACTTGTCCACAACTTTCTCTAAGTATATCGTAAGAGTAGTTTTTTTAACAGTTTAATACGAGCCCCTACCTTTTTCACTTGCAGGATGTTCAATACATCTTCAGAATGTAGTATATCCACTATTATGAACAGACTTATTGCTATGAAATTTTAAATATAAGTTGTCAACAACTTTATCTAGATAACACGGAGGCAGTTTTTTTAAATCATCATTCTTTTTAAAATTTTGGTGAAATTTTTCATCACGTATTGTTAAAAATCAATATCTCAATTATTGGAAATTTCGAAACGTCGTTTCCACCACTGTTTTCAGCTTACAACTTATGTGGAAAACGTTGTCGATGTCTTTTGTTGAAAGTGAGAAACAACAAAAGCAGGTTCTTCGACACAAGTTTCTTTTTAGTGTGGGTATTTCATTTTCGACAAAAAAAATCGACAACGTTTCCCGGGTAATGTATAGAGTTGTGTAAGCTGAAAACAGTGGTGACATCTGCGTTACGAAATTTCCATAACAATAAAGATATTGATTTTTTAAATACGTGACGAAAAATTTCACCAAAATGCTAGAAAGGAGATGATCAGAAACTGTTCTGCATTATAGAGCAAAAGGTGTGAACAAGTTATATTTAAAATTTCGTAACAATAAGTCTTAATAATGAGGGACTCCTCTTAACATAAGGGAGTCGGTAAACGGATTGTTTTGTTAAGTCAAAACCCTGAGCCCGAGTAAAGATTATTATTATAAAAACAGAGAAAGCAGTAAATGTTATTAGATCTTAATTATTACAAGTTTGATGTTTCAGAAATCATTACTTATCTACTAGCTAAATAAACAGACCTAAAAACTGTAATGGTAATATTTTATAAATGACCAGAAAATGCACTCACAATTAGACTTTCGAGCCGAACATAATACTCAAGCAATTAATATCAATTTTCGCAACAAGGAAAATGTATTTTTTCCACTTGTTAACCAACCGGCTCCTTTATCAATGTAAGTAATTTAATAATATTATTTGAAGTCTAATAAAAGTACAATACGCCTTACAGGGTCAAAAACCTCGCACAGAGGATATAAATATAGCCATCTCTAAGTTAGAAAGAATAGTAATCTATTAAGCCGTCAGACTGAATCAAAATTAATGTGGGCGTGTAAAATTGAAGGAAATTGCTGAACTTTTTCTTCCAAATAAAGTAAGACCGAGCTTTGTCTTCGCCATTGTCATCGCCTTGTCTCCGTTATTGTACTAAGCCTTTGTAATCTTCAACACTAGGACTAATTTGGAATTCCCGACAAAATTAATTTGGTAATTTAGTAGCGAGTGTAGAGATCAACCCTTAAAAGCACGCAATGTATAAAAGCTTTCTTCACTACCTCATCGAATAACATCATGATGCAATTAATTCACAAGGTAAACTGAATTTAAGGGGTGCGTTGGGTTCAGTGTCAACATCGTTAAGCGTCCTCTCTGAAATATATTCAAGCCGGTATCTGTCTGATTGATGTTTATTCTAATGTTGCTTTAGGTTTCAAGCCATCGTTATCGAGAGACAAATTATCCATTAATAATTTTGCGGGTATATGTATAAAAGCCTGGTTTTCAGACGACAACCGAGTAGGTATCTAGAACGAGCGCGTATGTATGATTTTAAAGGATTATTTGTAAAGTAAAAGTTCACCTTAAATATACATATTTCATGATTGGTACAAATTATGGAAATGGAATGTTCAAACTTCGAGGATTCCTATCTCAAGCCGTAATAATTTTACTTGAGGGTAAGCGACGATGTTATGAAATCAGGGTAGAAATGAAGAGTAAGCCCAAATTTATTATATTTTACAAATTATAAGCTATTTAAAATGTAAGCTTGTAATAAAATTTGTGCTCAAGATTAACCACTTCAAATATTCTTCTTGGGAAAATATTACTAAAACATCAAATTTTTCAATTGTGTGCAGGGTGTTACGCACAATAATTCAGATTTGCACTAGTTTACTAATAAGAGCACAAGATTTGTTTAAACTGCACTAAAATCTTGTTTCCTTCAGTTTAAATGAAAAGTTTATAAAACAAATTGCAGTTTACCCATCCTTGAAAATACAATTACGTGAAATCGAACACAAGACAGAATCAGAAGGACAAAAATAAATCTACAGTTTCCACTTAGTTACTAACTGTAGCAACAAATTATTTATTAATGCCAAATAGGCAAAACGGACAGATGTGAGATTATTATAATGTTGACAATACTACTACTACATGTGTTTGTACTTACATTAGGCTAAAATTTCGTGTGAAAAAACTTAATTTTAAGTAGATCAGAAATAGAATAAAATTAACAGCAGAGATAGCAGTAGAGGCAATACGGGTACGAATTTTTTGTATGTTATACCATACCACAATGCTATAACTGAAAAGAGAACCTTCTCATTTTGGTGAATGCTCGATAAAAATGTGTTCAGAACGACAAAATAATGTACCTGGGCAATTCTTAGAATTATAATTAAAATTTAAAACAATTTTAATTCGTTACATTGTTCTTTTTAGCTCTAGTGATATTATATTAATTTAATTTGAGTGTAAAAAGAACAAAATACCTTCATATGACGTTTCAACAACTAAACACAAGTATCGTTACTTACACGTTCTTTGTTTCGTGCGAATTAACGTAGTTTCGAACCTCTTACAGAATTGATTTTAAAATATAAAAACTACTGCACTTATTTTTAGCTTCTTTTTAAAATTTGAATAATAATTTTATTACATTAAAGAAAAGACAATTTTGATTGTATGCGTGGTGGCTATTAATAAAATCTTTTTAGTATGTCACTCATCTACTCATAAAAGCTGTCCTTGACTCAATATCGAACACCGATCGTTGTTATCAATTTAGAATCATTTTAGTTAAAAAGGAGTCCAAGGACAATATGTGAACTCACAAATAGACCTTTAACGTCACAACTCTAGACAAAGTGACGTTTCACACTTGAGTTCTTCGTCACACAACAATGAACACCGGTTATGACGATACTTACGTCACACGTTAGAAGTTGTCATTACCCTCGCGACCTTTATCTTTCCGCAATAATCACACACCATTAACTTCTTGCTAAATAAGTCCAGAATATAAAAAAAGGTTATTGTCGTTTATTTATACAAAGATAATTTTGGAAGTTATTCAAGGCGAACTTTCACATTTTACATTTTTGTGTGACATAATGAATCGTGATGGTTGCGAATTGCTTTATGGAGATTTTCCATGGAAATGGTGCTTGTTAAATCTGGCGGAAAAGTATCTCCATATGAATGCCAGCTATCCACGTACAGTCTCCGTTTTACTTTGTCATAAATTTACAATCTTACGACTTGGAGGTAATTGGAGTGACAGGCCAAATAGTGTGAGTATTACTACCTTGTTACAGAAATTACACTTTTACCAAAAGTAGATATGATATGTATTTTTTGTAATTATGATATAATAAACAAAACACCTTATTTAAGACTACAAAAAATCAACGACAACCCAGATCAATAAATAAAACATCCATTTACATTTCAAAATTCAAGTCTTTGTCAAATTTTTGATTTATCGCAAAATGTGGGCTCTTGGAATGACATCTGCTACTTTCAAATGTAAATTTAGGTAACTTACCGGCTTGAGGTCGCAGTGTATAATATTCTCCTTCTGGAGCAACCTGAGACATTTCAACATGGAATTGGCGAACCTTCTGATTAAATTTAAACTAAATCCCTGGTAGCTGTTCTTCTTAATCAATTCGAAGAGATTAAGGCTGTAATAAATTTTGGTTGTAAGCTTAACTCTTTGCAAGAAAATGAAAATATGGCGCATGTAACAAAACTCCTGATTTTAATTAATACATTCATTAAGTGCTGCTATTAGAGAAGGTTATCAAAGTTACAACGCCACGCAGCAAATTAATCTTTGCTGGTTGTTTCCTTCCAGGTAATGAACTGTCTTTATTGGGTTTTCTTAGTTCGAAGGAAGTTGTTAATGGCATTGTCACGATCACAAATATTCGTTGTTGTTTTACAGGAAGCCTAGCTCGAGCATAAATGCATTGTTATATTGTTAATTGGGCGATTTACATGTATGGGTGCGATTCTTTTAATGTCTTAATTCAAGTACTACAGGATGTTCTGGAAAACAAGGAGAAAAATGGAACTGAAGATACATTTTTTTAAATCATATTTCGGACTAGGTATAGCTTTTTGTGAAAGTAGGGTTGGAAGAAAGTTTCAAGATTTGAAAAATTAATGTGGTTGATTCATTGGAGCTTCATTACTTATAACGGGTGTCTAATTAAAAACCTGATCAAGAGCGCTGCTTTCTTTCTTTAGGATTTTTCCGAGTGTCGTAGTGTTTGTCATCGTGTTCGTGACAGTTGTCATTTCGACGTCAAACTCAGTTTAATGATTATTAGTTCACAGCAGTCAAAGTGACAAGCCGTTGACAGTTTTTAAAATTCATTTCGGAAACGACATACGGAAAAAAAAACAAAATCTGGTGATATAACACTCTTGACCAGGTTTTTATTTAGACACCTCATATAAATGAAAATCCAATCAAAGTTTGTTGGTAGCGAGTTTTTTTTTTTTAATTTAGCTATTTTAAGATATATATGGTCAGTCTTGCTGGAACTAAACGTCTTAACAAAGAAGATTTAATAAACAAAGAAAGTCATCAGCAACAAGTATTGAGTTTAAAATAATGTGACCTTATGTAAAATTGTCATAATAGCCGCTGCAAAATAAATATTTTTTATTTGTTCATTCAAGTGTCCACCTACCTAATTTTAGTTACATAATTTTTATTGTTTTTAATATTATTGACCATAAAGTAAAATTCCTAATAAAAATTATGGAGAACAGTCACAAGTAATAAATTTTGTAACATATGCACAAATTGTCAATTTTCTGTTTGATTTTATGGTACAAAATGCATATAATGGTGGCAATATAGCAATAATAAACCCATCATTTAGTCTGTAAATATTCGACATTAGATCGTGTAAACATTCAGAATATACAATAAAGTTGTTTGTTTACATAGGACGAGTGGTATTGACCTACTTTACAAATTTATAGTAGCGGTTTTGTATATATTTTAAAATAAATAGGAGTAATTTTTTGTTATTTAAACACATAAAACACTAACAAAGTATTGTAAAGACTATACTATAAAAATAGTTATTCGTGAATTTAGTGGAACTAGTACTTCTCACATAAGAATACGTTTCGCGAACGACTTATATACTTCCATAATTTTCAAAAATGCTATTTTGTGCTCTGAGTTGTCTCATTTATTATTGTTAAGGAACTGATTTTGGGTTGTCATGTTATTAGAAATATAATCTCAGATTTTATCTATTCGTTATTATAAAGCTGAAACTTAACATCAAAAAATTATTTAATTCTTGCACACCCTCTTTGAGAGTGTTATTATTTCATATAAAACTGTTTTTCTCAAATAGAAAACATGTTTAGTATGGAACATTGTAAATTTTTCTTATTTAAAATTTACTTTAAATGAATAAATCTTTTAATTACTTATTCTATTGCAAAAAAAAAACCTAAAGAATCTAATATGTAAATTTTTGTTGTGTGTTGCACATGTCTATCACTATACAAAGTGACAACTACTGACCGAATAGATTTAATATATTTAAACCTATTTATCGATAATACGAAACTAATAATAATAAATGTCTACAAAATACCTAGAACTAAAAAATTAGTTTCTCTTCGTCTTTATTTATTAGCTATATATCCACCTTTGTAAAAAAGGACAATATACCAAAAGATCAATAAAAACAAGCGTAAACTACTAAGTGAACAAATTGGAAATTTATAAACATTTCAAAATTTATGGAACCGTTATAATTTTTTAATGAAATTTATAAAGTTTTCTTCTGTATTCCGATGTCTGTCGTCATATTTACTGTAGACAAATGTTCGATTTCATGCACATACATGTAAAGTTGACGGTAGAAACTTTTAGTGTGTTTTCAAAAAATTGTAGTTAAGGTAGACGACGAAAATATCGCGAATCGTTAACACATAGAAAATTGTTGTAGGATCATAACTGACTACTATTTGTTAGTCTTAAACACAGCCTAATGAAACATATTTTTACAAATAATGAGATTTTTTTTTTTAGTTTTATTTGAGTTGAAGTTGTTGATGCCGTTTTTTAAACACACACAAATATTTTAGGTTCATTAAAATAAAAACTAAACGAGCCGAAAACCTACATATAAAATTGCGGTAGTCGTTCTTATCTTAAATATTTTAGTATAATGAATCTCAAAATAAATTCATTCGCGTACGGTCTAAGTGAGTAAGCAGCAAACTTATCGTCATGAAAATAACGAGATTCGTATTTGAAATTTTGATTAGGAGTTGTTACACGCGACGTAAAAAGAAACCACTAACCTCAATAATTCGAAACTTATGCAGAGATGATTTCTAAAATTGAAGTATTCTAACATGTGGATAACGTTGTGGTTTCCGTCTTTGTCTTTCTTTCGGAGGTGATCGAGTATGCGAACTTCGACTAAAGCTGGATGGTGAAACCTTTTCTTATTCCTGATAATCTTGATGGCAACATGTTTGTTGGTCATGTGATCCAATGCCCTGATCACTTGTCCGAAGCTACCCTTCCCAATAACTTCTAGAATTTCGTATCGGTAGCAGATGTGATCGTGCAGAACCTGAATAAATTAAGAATTTACTAAGGCAACACAGTCACGCATATTATGGAAAACGATTATTAAAGTAAAAGACGGGACTATTATGATTAAGTTAGGGATCGAAGCGCTGGGAACTGAATTAAACTGATGATAAATGTCTTGAATAAATTTTATGATAAATTGTTCGGTTTACAGTTGCACCGGAGACGTCGCTAATTTTGCTTGAAAATGTTACGACGATCATTTCTAAGACTTACCTTGATATAACTTCCACTTTCGTCGTCGTAGCCGCTATTCTGCGATCCGCCTTGTTCCCCATGAATTTTGCACGCATTCAGCCCGAGATACCAGATCTTGGAATATTTCTCTATTTCAGTCTTCTCATACTCTGTTAGACGGTTGCCGTACAGCCGAAGAGCCTCTGGAATGATAGAATGAAAATTTTATTTATCGAAAACAAATGTTTTCCTCGAATAAATAGCAGCAACTTGTGGTTTATGCGCAACAATATTCCACACATTCCCTCACTCGAATTCCAAGCTTAATTAATGGATACGTTATTAAACCCAAAATGGGAGGGAAAAATGTTCCAAACATTTATCAAACGCGAAACTGCCTGTTTACCCTGGGTCATTTGAAACTTTAGCATGTGCGTGTCGGGAATGTTCAAATAAGTGCCTACAATAAAAATATCTGCATAATTTTTCGTGATTAAAGTTGACTTAAAACTACTTTTCAAAGTTATACCTTTATGATGTACGTAACTTTAAAAATTATGGCTCCCAAACAGTCAACTTTTTTATTTTATTTATTGATTTGTTTATTGGTACACGAATTTACACGTATAGCCACTAATTTCAGGTACATATCCCACCAACAAAGAAAACAATTTCTTTCTATTATTGTAAAATAGTAAAATACTAGAGAACATTTATTCCTGTTATCGTCAGTGTATAAACGTCGCTATTTTATTTAAAAATTCCCTGCGATTTCAATACAGTATATTGTCCATCAAAAACATTTCAGTTATCGATGATAGTGATTAGTTTATTCACGTAAACAAACTAGGTCTAGTTTCGGCGTACTGTTCTGAAGGCATAGCCAATATCGAAGTATACCACATGATCCACAAAATTTGTATTCGGGGTAGGGTGTGATCACTGCACGTCGAGCATGATAGACAGAAAGCTAATGTTTATTAAAAAGAACTAGAATAAGCTTGCCATGTATTAATTAGAGCCTGTTCTAAATACAAATTTTTTGGATCATATGATATTTTGTTTTATACACGATAGTTATTAAACTAAAAAAAGTAGCTAGTTGCCCGATGAACTCGATTACAATATTTCCTTAGTTTACGCTAGGAAAGTAACAATTATTTTCTACAGGTTAAAGTTTTTCTCATGTAACCTACCCATATGTTTAACTTTTTATCTGATTATAAAAGAAAAATCTTGACCTATTCACTGCAATCATATACACATATATAATCAGGAGTCCCCATTTCTGTCTTTTTCTTTGGAATATGGCTGAGTTACGAGTTTATATTTTCTCCTACACTTTATTAAAAAAAAGTAAAATGTTAACCTCAACTAACGGAACTGTGTAACCAGTGACTGAGTGAAAAACATTTCAGAAACATTTTTGTTGAGTGAAATTTTCTGCACTCTTAACGTTACTATTTTGGGAAGCATTTGTGTCTAAGTGTGTGGAAATAAACAGTGCCCTTATGGCAACATCAGGACGACTTTTGCCGCATTGTTGAAACGAGGATAATAATGAAATTGTGAAACTAGCGTTACATGTTGGTCCATTTAAGTTGAGTAGTCAGTATTGTTGCATACGGCAAGTTAGACATCTTTGACTTTTCATCAACAGTTTGACGTTTTAATCGATGTTATAAACATTCTATATTATATAATTTAATGGAGTAGTAAGTATTCATATCCCACGACCATGAACTAAAATTTTGTTTTTATGAGAAATGACCATGTGACGAACTTCTAAACATTAAAAAGAGGCATTAGATCATATATTTTTATTTGTTTTCACTTCCAGAGCCAACATCGGTATTGTAAGAGGGTTTATTATTATTATCATCATTACTTTTTAATAATTATGATCTATGTAAGTATTTATAAAACCGTAACATTGCTGAGACATCTAAGATTTTAATAATAAACCGTATTTTCCTTATTAATAAAGATCAATAAAATCTTAAATATTACACAAATGCGAGTACCACGACTAATAGGCAAAATAAAACGATTTTTTCATAAATGATTCTAACATCCAAATGGGCACTGATTTGTTTCACCTCTTTCGTATTATGCAACTATAAATTCCAACGATAGTTCAAATATAACACTTATTGTGATAGATGACATTTTAGCCATAACAATTAAAACTTTAAAACAATCTACCATTATAAAGAAGTGGCAAATCTGCAAATTTTTAAATTTCACGGGTTACTGGATGTAAGAAACATGTATGAAAGTCCGGTACAAAGATTTCGCGTCGCATCAGATATAATTTCACAGATAATATGATTGTATATTCAAAATCATCAGTAGACATCACAAAAAAGGGCTGTCAATTGTAATTTTAGTTTGAAATCAGTTTTGACGTAGAAAGTTCGTTATACTCTGTTTGGATAGCATAGGTATCGAATGCCATACGATAGTTGTTCTAAATGTATAATTTCAGCATATGTAGTTAAATGATTTTGTATTCGACATATGGATGAGATACTGATGTTGTCTTTCAGATTAATGGAAACGTTTTTTGAATGACGGTGGATACAGGTTTTGCATTATAATCTCTCGAATTTCCCGACATCAACTTCTATTACTTCAGCCTATATTTTTGTTCCTGACATGAAACGTTCCATTTCTCTAGAACCAATAAAAACGTAAACAAAACCGTAAGGAATAAATTGAAACTGAGAGCGTCCCTGCGTAGAATCCACAGGATTTGTAAATAAAGTGTTGTTAGGTGTAATATGCTTTATTTTATTATTTGAGTACTGTCTGTTGTATTTTTTCTGAAAAGTGGATAACAAGGGTTCGAATTTAGTTTTCAACTCAATTTGTAATAAACTATCAATCACAAAAAAAGTCTAAATTAGCGATTAAAATTTAATTAACAGTTACATATTATTAAAACACAGTAACCATCCACAACACTTACACATAAACAGAATTGTACAATACATCGTAAGATTGAAATAAAATAAATCCAGGCTATACTTCGAAAATAATTAAAAAAAAATCCCTTCTGCAGAGATATAACGGATTTTTTTAATGGGAACTTCACTCTAAATGCAACCCTGTATGCCCATTTGGGTATCTCTTTACTTTTTCTTTTAATTTTACTCATACGAATCATCAAATTTTTATTTTATCTCAAATATTTCGTAACAGATTATTTTTAATTTTGAAAATTGCGAACTAAAATTTTCTAAAATTATAAACCAAATATTTATTCAAAAATACTGTTTTAGACGCTTGCTCCTTCTGATTAAGTAATATTAAAATGCTTTAAGTCTTTGGATATGCTTGTAAAATAACTCATCTAATTTCTCTGGAATTTTGGAAGCATAGCTGCTTATCTAGGATATTTATTAGTAAAGGAATCAAGATGTAGACGTCATTTTAAAAAATTATATTTAATGAATCATCCGCACATGCGTTACTTGTTGTTTCAGATTTTCTCGTACACTATTTACACGTATTTACATATTTTTAATGTGGTTAACATATTGCTTAATTTTTAATGTCATCAAATTTAATCTAACATTTTTAATTTCATCAACCAGAAAATGTGTTTCAAAAAGATATCCTTATTGAAAAAGATTGGACTCTCCATTTTTATCTATTTACATTTTTTCTTTTAATAATTTTTCAGATTTTACTCATTATGTGTTACTAGGTTAAAAAAATATGGCATGCAATACAGTCTCCTACAGAATCGCTTTTTTCTCTGCACATTTAATAACACTTGTTCATCAACATTTTTCTAAAAATCGATGTGGAGTTAAATCAACATAAATATATAAACGAATAAATTTGGTAAAACTGTGGCGAATCTGAAATCAATAATCGCTACATTTTCAAGCGTTTAATTAGTTGGTGAAAGTTCCTAAATGACAATGAATAATTTAGTCTGCCATTTCCAGATGACCCCACAAAAACGCCAATATTTTTTTAGATGATTCGTCATTAAAACATTTTTTTCACAAAGCTATAGCATTTAAGTATAGTGAAAAAATCTACAAAGCGTATAACATTAATAACCTTCTCAGAACTTCGAGTAAATTCGATTAAACGCTTTTGAGATGATCGATACAGTAAGTGATTCTTGTAATTTTTAAGCCATCCTGTTTGAGAAATTCTAAGAAATCTGTAAAGTAGTTTCAAGACGAGTTATTTAACTTTACTAAAGTATAAAAGCAAATCTATGTTAATGCAAGTTATTATTACACTCGTGTCACCTATGTGCAGTATATACATGTAAGTTTAGTTTTTGAAGCATATTCTTTACATTTTTTACGAATAAGTCTGATTTCCAAAATTAGCAAGAGTTTGAAGAAATAAACCTACACTTCCCATTACGAAAGCATGAAGAAATAAAAAATGGATAAATATGTTGTTTTAGTTATTTATAAACTCTGCCGATGTCAGGAAAAAATTAATCGACATTTCGTCAGCGAAGTTATTTTTTACAATCACGTGGTTATGGTTACTCGACTTCGCCTCAGCAAATAATACCCACATTTGTGATGAAACATCAGTCTTTGACGCCTCTCTACACAAATAACTAACACTGATGGTATTAAAACTAATTTGCAAATGTAACATCTTTTTATAATACTTAGAGCAAAGTTCAAAAAACTCATATTTAATCTCAAAGTAAAATTTGACTAAATTAGTATGATAATTATGGGCAAAATAAACTAGCGTTAAAATATGTAGTTGTTCCCACGTTTTATTTTGTAAATTCACTTTTTATTCACTGGAATAAATTTATTAACACAGATTTTAGATACTTTAACACCAACGTATTTTTCTGTATTTAGCAGTTTTTCATTTAATAAAATATTTAGAAGTCGAATCAAGGCCGACTTGTATTATACCGCAAATGGAAACCCATAAAATAATAATGTGACTGAAATTTACCCGTCGGTGTCATAGGAAAGCCATTGTTTTCTCTATTGTTATTTGTCGTCCCATGATTTTCCACTCCTCTGGGATTGTTATTGATGGCCGGGAATGAATCCACCATCGGTGAGCTCGGTGTTAAATTTGTCTTGCTCTGGTTGAGGTTAAGTCTTGAAGACGATTTGCTGCTTTCCAATAATGGCAACTGAAAAGTACAGTTTGAAGCAAATAACACATGCTCGCTTTGTTGTGTTTCGTAAACTAAACAATAAGAATAAAATACATAACGCAGTGAAATGCAGTTTTACGTTGTAGTAGTCACAAATACAAGAAACGCATTCTTTCTTTTCGTTGTTCTCAAAACTTTTTTACGAAATATAAGTAAGTAATACAACATGGTGAAGCGCCGAAACAATCCATTTAAATCTACTGCCGCATTGTGTATTTTATCATTATGTCAATGTTTATAATAACAATAATTTTTATTACAGACCTATTTATAGGTCTAATTTTGGTTAAAATAGACATGCAAGGTTGAAAGCTTTTTGCACGAATTAGAGCTTTCAGCTGTTATCAAGAAAGTTTCTGAACAATAAAATTCACGTTACTGTTTAAAATAGCTACAGAATTTCTAAAATATAACTCAATCACTACTTACTTCAGAGTGGATAAACGTAGTCTTAGATGTTGAATGGCCATTTTTAGAAGAGATTTTTAAGTGCTTTCCGGATGCCGTCGTCTGTGGTTTGGACCCATACTTTGTTGGCAATACGTCCTTATGGTGATGAGCTGCCGGACTCTATAAAAAACAATTCATTAATCATTTTATGGAAATGTTGGCATGCGAAAACACTAGAATTTTTGAGTGAGGAAAAAGAAACACCAGCGAAAGCTGTCATTCTTTTTCAGCAAAACAATGCCAGAAGAAAAGATTTACGAAAAATGTAAAGAGTCAGGCATTATTAATTGAGTTCAATGTCAGTAACAAATTATTAGAATAATTAATTAATCAAATATTCTGCGAATGTCATGATTCTAAATTATGTCCTATATATAGCTATTTAATCTTCCTATGGTGGGATAACACTTAATATAAGAATTTCTGCTTATCTCTTTCACAATTAGTTTTATATTACAAATTACGTTTTTAGTTTTGAACTACATACAAATACTACTAAACCATAATTGTCCAAACTGTCAATTTTTGTCAATTATTATTATTCATGTTTAACTTTTGTTGAAAGTTACAGGAGTATTATTTTAGTGGCCTTTGTTATTAGGTCATTACATATAACTAGAATGCTAAATAAGCTTTATCTGCTCATTCTTACCAACAATTTGATGACTTTATGTCAAAAATTTTGCATAATATATGCTATTTACGTTTTATAAAATAACATACTTCCATAATTTATGAATCCGCCTCGAAGTTTTACCGTAGACAAGTAGAGAAACAAATCAAAATTGTTGAATAGTCGGAAACATTGCAAAGTTGCCATAAGCATGATAAATCGTTAATCAAAATGTACCTACTTATCCTTCCCAAAAATTGGATTTGTTTGATCGTGCGTCAGAAGCGTAGGAAGTGCTGCCTAAATAACCTTAGACCAATTTTTAATTAACTCAAACTTACTATTTTAACCAAAGTACTTTTTTCAGTTTTCGTTTGATCCATTAAAAGTTACAAGTCTATAAAAAACATATTTTTTCTACTTTGTTATGCATGATCCATCATGCGTAAGTAATAGGATAAAACGTTGAAAGAGCTTCGGTTTCAAGTATACACGTGTCGAACTACTGATCGAAACTGATTTTTATTAATAACAGACAATGATCTAAAAACGGTATAAAATCAAGCGTGACAATATTAGTCTTGTGAAGGTTATTTTTAGTAGACAACCAGGCGACTTTTTGCACTTTCATGTTATAACATTTTAATGTTCAAAAACCACGCTCTGTATTACGTATTCATACGCAAATTTTAAGCGCATGAAAAAATGATGATCAAAGATGTTTATAACTACTATACAGAATTTTTAACTCCACGTGTGGATATAGACAAAACTTTCAGTTTCGGTAGATGGTTGTTAACTACATGAGTAGATTGTTTTATTGAATGTTGTTTCACTTTAAATCACTGTTAAATTCATATTCCACGACGACGGGCAAGCGTGCGTCTCAAAGCCTGCATGCAAGTTTTAATAGATTTATGGAAATGTCTCTCTGATGAATTAGAAGATAAATATTAAACTGCAATATACCGTCGATTTATTAAATTCAGCAAGCTCTGCTTTTACATTGATATTTATATCCCAGTTGTGTCGCAAACTGTGAATAGGGTCATTATTTATTATTGATTATTAGTGGTAAATTAGTTTGAATATACGTAAGGAGCTCAATAATCTCAAGAGATTTTATAAAATTAAGTTCTCTTTGTATGTTAGACAAAACGTGCTTTAAATTTCCTGATTTGGGATATTTCAAGTGGAAATTACAACATTTTGCTGCGTCTGACATATTCGTTGTTTTTAATTTCAACAATTTGGGCTTTTTTAAAAGCTCAATGAAAATGCGTCTGATATGTCAAAAGTTTTGCAGCGTTCGTGAAATATTTTAACTTGTAAATACACCGAATGTGGAATAAATATCGAGCAGATGTCCTAACAGATAAAATTATTTATTCGCTACTTCGTTACTAAACACTCCGCAGTAATACATATTTCATTTTTGAGTTTTAAAATAAAAAAAATTAATACATACTACAGACGAATATACTCGTATGTATAATTTGTAGATACTATTTCAACACTGCCTTAAATCAGGATTGTTTTTATAAATGTTGGATATATTGATTTTGATATTTGTACTACATAATTTTAATTTTACTCGGTATGTTTTTCAAAATTTTAGGGGAATTAAATGTGTCGATAAAACAGATTGATTCATATATGCAGGGGCGGCTGGTGCCAGGGGGCAAAAGAGCACGTGCCCCCCCAAAATTACAACGTCTACAAACACACTGGACATAGCAAAATAGTAATTTTCAATATTTAAAAAATTATCCGCAAATTTGTGTCATAATGATCAAAACTAATTTTTTTATTTCGCCCCACTTGTATTACATGTATCAAAACTTACATCTAAAGCTGTTGTGTCTTAAATATATGATATGTTATTGCTGATGAAGTGCTGGCTGAGAAAAGCAGAGACGGAGACCAAATCATGGTTCACTTAGACGTTTTGTTTATACCGTTGCCATTGAAACCGTGCGTCTAGTCGCGGTATTAAACTGGAATCGGGTCCTGATCCGACAGTGCCCACCAGTAGTAACTCAATTGCGGGTTTTAATTTTCACTCTGCGCCAGTGAAATTGTTTAATTTTAAATAAAAATAATGGATTCGGTTGAATATTTAATAAAAAATCGTCCTCTGTGTCATGACGGTAAAATTTTAGTGAAACATTTTAGGGAGAGCCACCCCCAATTTATTAATAATAAAAGTGTTCATGGCAAAACCAGAGACTTTTTTATTTTTATTGAATGTATTTTTGTATTTATTTCCGTCACACAATTTCGTCTATTAATTGGTAATAATTAACAACCTGTTTTATACCTTCATATTTAAATAATCAATCAAATGGTGACCCCCCATTTTAAAAGGTGACTAGCCGCCACTGCATATATGTACTATTTTTTAAGTTATTCTCTGTACGTAATTTAAGAACTAGCGTCAAATGAAGAATTCAGAATAGATCCTGTATTCTTTGTCTGTTATTTTTTGGATAACCCCCTTATGTAACGATAAAAGTTGAGACCTATTCTTAACCCATAATAATCGACGGATCATGTCGCGATCTATTTCAGGTCAGATCAGCTTAATAAAATTTTTGGTAATTGGTTCGGTGACGATAGACTGTTAGACGAAAATAAACCAAACTAAACCACCTCACGGAATTGTATCCTTTGCATCTTAACAAAAAATGCTTCCACAAGAAAGTACCGACGTAATGTATAAGTTAAAAAACTTTGTAATCATTTGGAAAGATTTTTGTTGTAGAAAAATAAAACAGTGTGTCGAATTATGTAACACTTTTTGTGATCTTCCTTATGTATTTAGCTAAAATATATTGATTGCAAATTTGATTAACTGTATATATGTATAATTATAGAACCTAATGAGATTGCGGTTGTGTTGCTTAAAGGAATCATATGTCAAAATTTGTTCACATTTTTTCTACAATACTCATCATCTACAGTGCGAAGAAGCTAAAAAGTTAATATAAAACAGTTACTTCTCTGTTAGGATAGCAACGTTCATTGTTAAATAATAACCTTATCAATTATAAGATAGATTTGACATTTAAACAATAATTTGGTTTGATGAGTTTGAAATTACCATACATTAACGGCAAATCAGATTTTACTAAACATATTATTTACTTAAAAGCATACTTATCTGTTATGTCGATATTTTTCGCTTTATCCTTTACTTATGTTTAGTTTTTAAGACAAAATATTCCTTTTAGCAACACATCATATTATTTACATCAGATTTATTTATAATGTGCCTAGTTAATAATATTTGTGTTTTTAAATTTTGCTGAATCCTTTGTAAAGAAAATCTCAATAATTGATATATAATTCATTTGTTTAGTCCTGGAGAAACGGTGGCTTTTCATAATAAAAACATACACAGTGTACGTTGATTAAATAAGTTTAAATTAGACTTTGAGCTGTAAAACTTTAGGGAATTTATTATCAAACTTCAAATTAATGAAACGTCAGTTAAGAAATTTATTTTATTTTTAATTAACAATTCAGAATTCATTGGATATGCTCACATTATATGTATACGCTATAAAGTCAAACATCTAGCCCCAAAAATATTCGTATCATTAAACTATCTATCGTCTGTGTCGATTTTTACTAGACAGATAATCTGCAAAACTACTGGACCGAGGGTTGTAAAATTTTAAATGTATTTTAGAGTATCATGTAGATGCTAACCAAAATGTGGTGAAATCCCCTCAAAATTTTATATATATTTTTTATAAAAATCTGAATCTTTGGGTAATTTAAGCCTCTAAATTATCAGATCATGAAATAATATTTCCCTTTTTTACTTGGAACCAGTAAAATAAAAATTAGAAAGTTTCGAATTGTTCGAAGCAAAACTGAGTTAAAACATCAATAAAAATATTTAATTTTATTCTCGATAAAAATATTTTCAAACTAATTAATAATTTAATCAATCGCACGCTCATATAGATTAGCTATGAAAGAGAAAGAACAATTAACATTTAGAGATAGAATCTGTATCAGCCTTCAAAATTATTATCCTCCCACGAAAGCCTATTTTTCACGTTACTCTTTACCAAGTTATGAATATGTATGAATCAGATTTATACAATAATTGGATCCGACTGCTTAGCTCGAAAATTACAATTGAAGCCTTTATTATTATTTTGCTGTGGGTTTACATTATCAGGTATGTTTCTGTGTTTACTAAACGATCGTTGTGTTCTTGCGTAAAACACAATGTCGTCTGATTCAATAACAACAAATGCGTAACATGATGCGTGTCTGACATAGAGCCGGTAAATCTTTCGTCCGTACACATTAGTGATAATGACCTTTATCAGATAGCCCGCGTCAGTATCAATTACGCCGCCATATTTAATAATAAATAGTTCATTTATTATTACGTTTAATTGCGGCAAATAAATTACCTAAGGAAAGTGCTATTATTTTGCAATAAAAAGGGGATTTTCACTATTGGAAGTAGACGAGTGTACTTTCA